TGGTATAGTCTTAGTGTTACTGGTATAGTCTTAGTGTTACTGGTATAGTCATAGTGTTACTGGTATAGTCTTAGTGTTACTGGTATAGTTACAATGTTACTGGTATAGTCATAGTATTACTGGTATAGTCATAGTATTACTGGTATAGTCTTAGTGTTACTGGTATAGTCATAGTGTTACTGGTATAGTCATAGTGTTACTGGTATAGTCATAGTGTTACTGGTATAGTCATAGTGTTACTGGTATAGTCATAGTGTTACTGGTATAGTCATAGTGTTACTGGTATAGTCATAGTGTTACTGGTATAGTCATAGTGTTACTGGTGTAGTCATAGTGTTACTGGTATAGTCATAGTGTTACTGGTGTAGTCATAGTGTTACTGGTATAGTCTTAGTGTTACTGGTATAGTTATAATGTTACTGGTATAGTCATAGTGTTACTGGTATAGTTATATTGTTACTGGTATAGTCATAGTGTTACTGGTATAGTCATAGTGTTACTGGTATAGTCTTAGTGTTACTGGTATAGTTATAATGTTACTGGTATAGTCATAGTGTTACTGGTATAGTTATATTATTACTGGTATAGTCATAGTGTTACTGGTATAGTCATAGTGTTACTGGTATAGTCATAGTGTTACTGGTGTAGTCATAGTGTTACTGGTATAGTTATATTGCTACTGGTATAGTCATAGTGTTACTAGTATAGTCATCGTGTTACTGGTGTAGTCATAGTGTTACTGGTATAGTCATAGTGTTACTGGTGTAGTCATAGTGTTACTGGTATAGTCTTAGTGTTACTGGTATAGTTATAATGTTACTGGTATAGTCATAGTGTTACTGGTATAGTTATATTGTTACTGGTATAGTCATAGTGTTACTGGTATAGTCATAGTGTTACTGGTATAGTCTTAGTGTTACTGGTATAGTTATAATGTTACTGGTATAGTCATAGTGTTACTGGTATAGTTATATTATTACTGGTATAGTCATAGTGTTACTGGTATAGTCATAGTGTTACTGGTATAGTCATAGTGTTACTGGTGTAGTCATAGTGTTACTGGTATAGTTATATTGTTACTGGTATAGTCATAGTGTTACTGGTATAGTCATCGTGTTACTGGTGTAGTCATAGTGTTACTGGTATAGTCATAGTGTTACTGGTGTAGTCATAGTGTTACTGGTATAGTCTTAGTGTTACTGGTATAGTTATATTGTTACTGGTATAGTCATAGTGTTACTGGTATAGTTATAATGTTACTAGTATAGTCATAGTGTTACTGGTATAGTCATAGTGTTACTGGTATAGTCATAGTGTTACTGGTATAGTCATAGTGTTACTGGTATAGTCATAGTGTTACTGGTATAGTCATAGTGTTACTGGTATAGTCATAGTGTTACTGGTATAGTCATAGTGTTACTGGTATAGTCATAGTGTTACTGGTATAGTTACAATGTTACTGGTATAGTCATAGTGTTACTGGTATAGTCATAGTGTTACTGGTATAGTCATAGTGTTACTGGTGTAGTCATAGTGTTACTGGTATAGTCATAGTGTTACTGGTATAGTCATAGTGTTACTGGTGTAGTCTTAGTGTTACTGGTGTAGTCATAGTGTTACTGGTATAGTTATATTGTTACTGGTAGTGTTGGTTAGTGTTGTATAAACTTTGATCAATATAGATCAGTTATAGTTTGCCTAATTTAGTTTAATTTATTGTGTGACGGATATAATGTAATTTATATTAGTGTGGTGTAGAGACAAGAATATGTGGTAGTGATGCTGAAGTGGTGGTTCACGAATGGTCTCTTCTGTATGTATGTATGTATGTATGTATGTATGTATGTATGTATGTATGTATGTATGTACAGTTTGTATGCATGTGCTATATGTATTCATGTATGCACATATGTATTTCGTCAAGATATCAAAGAACTAATGAATCAATTTTAGTGACACTCTTACACAGGATGACAGTGAGGGAGAGACTATTTTGTGTTAACAGCTGCATCGAGATCAAAGTCCCTACGAAAAGTTAAAACGAAGTCGGTATCAGTTTTGTGAGCTTTGTCGTCATTCGGTGTTGTCTTATGTAACGTCTCATTCATCGATATATTTAACTGTAAAGAAAATTATCCCGGTAATAAAAATAAGACAGTCATTTTATGGGTTAATTTATGTCGGGAATTAGACTTTGAAATAGGCTGGGTAATGATCGAGAGGGGGGAACTTACCTCATATATTGTGTTAATTAAGACCACGATGCCGACGACGAGTTGTGTGCTGTATATCCTCACAAGACAAATTTGGTAATCAGTTTTGCTCTAACCGAACCTAACCTAATGTAACCTAACCTAACCTTGACACACCCTTCACCTCCTCTTCCCTCATTTATCCATTTCCTCTTCACGTCGTCGTTCTCTGTTATGTATATACTGCGGTTCTAATAAGTAATACAAAATACTAAATGCAGACTGTAGCTGGAATGTCGACAGGAAGGTAAACATGTAAAGAAGTAGGACATTCTTTAAAAGTAAGTCTTTGCATATGAATAATTTGATCAACAAACACGAGGTAAAGTTCTAAACAGTTTGTGTACCTAAGCCGAGTATCAAGAGTTATAGACCCGAGCAACCACTAAGCTTGGAGTCAACAAGGTAAACAGTGTTATTCACCTTCAGTAAGAACGAATACTTTGAGGCATCCAAATTCTTATATATTTTCAGTGTATGGGTCATGAAACACTGCTCCTGGTATTAATAACGTAATTGTAATGTTGGTTTTGAAAATATCTTAAATCTTCTGTTCTTTCTTTAGTCAGTTATTTGTGACATATTTAACCTTATTGCTTAATTATATATAAAACATTGGATAAGATGAGCAAATATTACAGTACATGCACACACCGTATAATATATGTGAGAAAATTCAATGTTACTTCGACATGTTTTATTTTACACATTAGATAAAACGAAAACTAACCTCGAAGAAAAATAATGGATTGTTTGTAATGCCTTACTTTCGTTTCTTTGATTAATAACAAGTGGTAAAAATGATCCACTGAAAAAAAAGTAATATGAGCAATTAATGTCATTCACAATTCTTGGAAAAAGTGACTAATTGGGATGATGAATAAACCGTTTCTAATTACTGTATGTGGAAGTTCTGGACTCATATCATATTGTTATCTTTGTTGTAATTGTGTTTATACCTGAAGCATCACATAGTATAACCAGGTACTAACGAAAGTCTTTACATATGAAGCTCATGAAGATTTATAAACGAGACTTGTAAACGACAGGAAGTAAATACGGGACGACGCAAAGACTTGTTGGTGTATCACTACGCTTCGACTCTCAGGTCTTCAACAGCGTATTAGAATGAGTAACCAAAACTTACTGAAGACATTTACTTTTTATCCTCTTCACCAGTGAACGGCTCGTTAACCGCTAGTGAACGGTATTGATACGTTCAAACTAACCGCAGATTTGTTGTCAAATTAACTACTGGAAGAATTCATTTTCCCTCATTGAAGATATAAAAATGTTCATTAATTCATTTTCTAAAAGTGTTTTTACATTGTATTTCCTATGGTTGGGGAATTGCCTCAGAAACTAAACATCTTTGAAAATTTTAACGTAATTTTTGGTCAGCTGTACAAGTCGGGGTTGGTCAGCTCTGTGAGTTCAGTTGCTGGCACTATGATTCTGTCATCGTTATACAGTACTGGTGCCCAACAACATTCAGGTCAAGTCGGGCAAAGTAATTTTTACCGAGTAACCATCAATTGTTACTTTTCCACGTGTTGTTTGATGCTTTAGTGTGTCTACGTTGTATCGGAGTAATTCAGTGTGTTTGTGTTGAACTGGTCGGTAGTACTCTGAGTGTCTTTCCTTTAAGTATTTGCACATAACTACCGCACAATCACACCACCACTACACAATCACACTGCTACCATGCAACCACGCTACCAGCATACAACCCCACACAACTAACACCAAACTAATTCACAATCATATGACCACAAAAACACTCAGTCATAACATCACACTATCACAATATCATACTAGCACATAACCTGACACGCACACCCTTACACCCTACCATCATTCAACCACACCAGTTACAACCCTTAACATACAACTACAACACAGCATTTTCATATTAACTTAGACCAAAACAATATATATATATATATATATATATATATATATATATATATATATATATATATATATATATATATATATATATATATATATATAAACACCGAAGTTAAAAATGCATATGGTTGAACAAAGAAAAGCTATGCATGAACACGTCACGCTCCATGTTTTTTATCCTTTGTGCTAACTATCACAAACAAAACTTCAAAGCGGCGGAAATAATTGATATATTGGAAGTATGTGCCTGGGGTCTACCCCCCCTCTAGAATAACCACCTCACCTGAGCCCCCCTTCCTCCCTCCCTCCACCTCACCTGTATCCCCTCTCTCTCTATCTCACCACCACCACCACCATCTACCCTACACCTCTACACCTACACCCACTACACACTAAACCCCATCCTGAAATGCAAATCAACCTAAACTACACACAATATTGTACATACAACGTGTGATAAATATTTACGTCTTCAACGAGAGCACTAAGGTGATGAGGAAACAAGCTGGTAACCGTACACACACACACACACACACACACACACACACACACACACACGGACCATCAAAGTTATCAACACCATTGGCACTGTCTCTTCCCTTAAATACCTCGTTGTGTTACCTGTACCTAACCTGCCACACAAAAGCTGATCTACAAAAATAGTGTTAATACAAAAAAAAATTACACCTGGGCTACATAACATCTCTGATAGATTACCTCGCACCAGAGCTGATCCTTCGCGACGGGAGAGAGAGAGACTGATTAACTTGAAAAATGCCAAATAAACCCCGTAGATTTATTCTTGGCTACACCATTAACTGTTATTGTTTGTTACAGTGCACCAGGTGGACGGGCCTACACTAAGGGTGAGGCAGGTGAGTCGGACACACATGGGTGCCTACCTGTGTATCGCTACCAATGGCGTCCCACCTTCTGTCAGCAAGAGAATCACCTTAGATGTGGAATGTGAGTAAGACACCTGCCCCATACTACCACACCTGGCCCATACTACCACACCTGGCCCATACTACCACACCTGGCCCATACTACCACACCTGGCCCATACTACCACTCCTGGCCCATACCACTCCTGGCCCATACTACCACCCTACCACCTGGCCATACCCACTACCACCTGGCCATACTACCACACCTGGCCCACCTGGCCCACCTGGCCCATACTACTGGCCCATACTACACCTACCACCACACCCACCTGGCCATACCACTCCTGGCCCATACTGGCCCATACTACCCCCACTACTTCCACCTGGTCCATACTACTACTATACCACTCCTGGCCCATACTACCACACCTGGCCCATACTACCCACACCTGGCCCATACTACCACACCTACTGGTCCATACTACCACACCTGGCCCCATACTACCACCTGGTCCATACTACCACTTCACCTGGCCCATACTACCACACCTGGCCCATACTACCACTCTGGCCCATACTACACACCTGGCCCATACCTCACCTGGTCCATACTACCACCCTGGCCCATACTACACCTGGTATACTACCACCCTGGCCCATACTACCACTCCTGGCCCATACTACCACCCTGGCCCATACTACCTCCTGGTCCATACTACCACTTGGCCCATACTACCACACACCTGGTCCATACTACCACACCTGGTCCATACACTACCACACCTGGTCCATACTACCCACTTCTGGCCCATACTACCACACTACCACACCTGGCCCATACTACCACACCTGGCCCATACTACCACACTGGCCCATACTACCACACCTGGCCCACACCTGGCTGGCCCATACTACCACACCTGGCCCATACTACACACCTGGCCCATACTACCATTCTACCACCTGGCCCATACTACCTCACCTGGTCCATACTACCACTTCTGGCCCATACTACCACACCTGGTCCATACCCACACCTGGTCCATACACTACCACACCTGGTCCATACTACCACACCTGACCCACACACACCTGACCACTCACCACACCTGACCCACACACACCTGACACACCTGACCCACACTCTACCACACCACCACACACACACCCACACTCCCACACCCACACTGACCCACACACACCCCCCACACTCTACCACACCTGACCCACACTCTACCACACCTGACCCACATTTAGACATCTCAGGCCACACTAATAAGTTTGGGATACAGCTACGCACCTAAGCCACACTATTATATCGTAAGCCACACTACCACACCTTAAGCCACACTACCACACCTTATTGTGAGGAGAGATGGTGTGGATAGCATGGGTAAGAGGAGAGGTAGGGTGGGTGAGAGGAGAGGTAGGGTGGATGAGAGGAGAGGTAGGGTGGATGAGAGGAGAGGTAGGGTGGGTGAGAGGAGAGGTAGGGTGGGTGAGAAGAGAGGTAGAGTGGGTGAGAGGAGAGGCAGGGTGGGTGAGAGGAGAGGCAGGGTGGGTGAGAGGAGAGGCAGGGTGGGTGAGAGGAGAATTTAAAGTAAGGTCTAATTCATCTCTCAACAACACCTCCTTCTAACAACAACAACAAACAATATCTCGTAACAACAACAACAATAACACCCCCTTCTAACAATATGATTAACTCCCTTTGTTAACTATCCCCATAATCCACTATCTAACAACCCCCCCTTTCCCAACACTCATGTAACACAAACTAACACTGTATTGGTTTGTGTTTACAGTCGCTCCTCAGATGCACGTACCTAACCAGCTGGTAGGGGCACCACTGGGCACGGAGGTCCACCTTGAATGCTTCGTCGAGGCTCACCCACGGGCTATCACCTATTGGGAATATCGTGACGCCATGGTGATGAATACTTCTCGAGTCACCACACACACATTGGAGGATAATTACAAGATCCATATGGTTCTCAATATACGCAGTAAGTCATGTCTTCTGGGGGGGTTGATTCTAAGGGGGTTCTTTCTTGGGGGTTATAAAGGTTCTATTGTATGGCTAAAAACTCTGGGGTTCTCTCAAGGGGGTTCTAGATTCCAATTTTAAGGATTTTGGTTCTACTTGGGTTATTTCTTGTGGGTTCTGGCTATCTAGGGACTTGTTTGTAAAGGTTCTGACTCTGGGTACTATTTTCTGGGGTTTTCAATGTGGGGTTTATTTTTCTGTGGGTTATTTGTTGAGAAATATGACTCTGAGGATTTTATCTCTAAAATTAGGCGTCTGATTTCCTTTCGTGTGGTTCTAGTTCTCTGGGGGGGGGGGTGGGTGTGGGGGGATGTTTTATCGAAAAAATCTGACTCTCTGGGGATTTCGGTTCTGGATTTCGTGTGACTTCATGATTTAAAGGAAGAATTCGGGTTCTTGAGGGTTCTTAGTGTGAAGGGAGAATACTGGTGTCCTGGGAAACTTATCGTGGATTTCTTGTTACTTCTTTCAATTTTCTGTTATCTCAGACCTTGTTTATCTTTCGCTATGTTGTTTCCCATCGTTCCCTATCTCGTTGTCTCCCTTTATGCAACTCTCTCTCTCTCTCTTTCTCTCTGTAACAGCCAAAATACATTGTGTGTGTGTGTGTGTGTGTGTGTGTGTGTGTGTGTGTGTGTGTGTGTGTGTGTGTGTGTGTGTGTGTGTGTCATAGAGTAATATCCTTCCTTATCTCCACAGATCTTCAGGAGGGAGACTTCGGTATGTATAAATGTATCTCTAAGAACTCCATCGCTGAGACTGACGGATCCATCACTCTTAATAGTAAGTATTTGTATCTTGTCTCTCGCTCTCTGCCTTATGTATGTGATTTACTAAGAGTTTGCACGTCACGTTATCAACCACATGATTGCAGTTTGATTTGAACGGAGCCGCACGAAGCAGTATGATTTTTTAAAACACCAAAAGGCCTATTTAGGATTTTTATTGGTGTATGGTAAAGTGCAATAGTATACGGGAAATAGAAATAGTATCAAAGGGTGTTATTGTATACAGGTAATAAAAGAGTTATGTCCTGTTAACTCCCACTGAAGTATAAGACGTTAACTCTTCACTACACTGACAAACTACAGTATATAACTTTCTGAGTATATCAAATTATAGGATACTCTGAAAAAATAATATTCATATGTCCTTATATATGATATACTATTTTTCTGGGTATTACGAATGGGATTTTAGTTGTTAATTAGTTTGTGTTATTTAAGAATCTACATCAAAGAGGAATAGTGATGTCACCTGTTTTTTTTTTTAAGTCTCACCACAGAACTCGTCTCCATACAGTAAGGTAGAAAAGGTTATGTAGATCTAAATAAAGTTTGGTATGGAGCGACTTAAGTCGAGAGTGTACTGTACATACTTGGAGCTGGCGGACGCTCGCCCTACAAGGGGTCACAGCTCAAGGTTGAAGAAGCCACTAGTCCAAAAAACTGTGAGGGCGAACTTTTTCGGAGTGAGAGTTGTGAACTCTTGGAACAATCTGCCAGAGAGTGTTGTGACGGCACCGAGTGTGAGCTCTTTCAAGACCAGACTTGACCAACACGGGAGCAGGTTCAGATACATTCAGTAGCCGGTGCATGCCCAGTACTTGCCAACAGTGCGTAACAGAGACGTGACCGACCGCCCAAGCGGCTAACGAGTCGATCAGTGGGGAAGAGGATAAAAGTAAAGTAAAAGTCGCAACTCACTGTTATTATGTTTAGTTCTCAATCCTGGCTCTGGTGGGGGACTGGCCATTAATCGTATTGTTTATACATATTTGGGGGTGAACGTATTGACCTTTAATTTTGACCTGTAACTATGAAATAACCTTTAAACGTTAACCCGGGAATGCTGTACGTCCAAGACTTATGAGTGAGTTAGGACAGCAGTGTCAGTCATCATTATAGCCTACCTAGTAACTGTGTTTATATTTCTTCTTTTAGTCAACTTTAAGACTTTTAGAGAACCAAACCTTACGAACACACGAACAGTTTTTAATGGTCAAGATTTTGGGATTAACATCTACGGTACTAAATATAGTATAAATTATACCGTCTGTTAATATACCTGAAGGCAAACATTTTCACCCTCAAGTTATTTGGTTATGTTATTCATCTTTAGTGTAGGTCGTCTTCTTTAGTGTGTCTGAGTGAACGAATACCTTGAGGTGTAGTCTTTGTTTACAAGAGATTACACAGGTGTTATAGGTGTGGTGTGAATGACGTCACGTGCAGGCTCTCGCTAATGTGCTTCTATATTTATAAACTTGTTGGTGATATGTCAACATAAAATGGTAGTGTGGTGTGCTCGTAATAAACACACACACACACACACACACACACACACACACACACACACACACACACACACACACACACACACGCACACGCACACACACACACACACAGGTCAACTCATTGGTGACTTCATCATCATCTATTCCAGAGACTTACCGGCCGACCACACCTCCCCAGACCAAGTTACACCGCCCCGGCCACGACGGTACTGTACCTGTCACAGTATATCTTCTTATCCTAACTCTCCTGCTAGTCATATGTACCTGCTAGCCCGGCTTAAAGTGTCATAGAGTACTGTACCTGTTATAGTGTACCTGCCTGACATAGTGTACTTCCAGCCATAGTGTACCTGCCTGACATAGTGTACTTCCAGCCATAGTGTACCTGCCTGACATAGTGTACTTCCAGCCATAGTGTACCTGCCTGACATAGTGTACTTCCAGCCATAGTGTACCTGCCTGACATAGTGTACTTCCAGCCATAGTGTACCTGCCTGACATAGTGTACTTCCAGCCATAGTGTACCTGCCTGACATAGTGTACTTCCAGCCATAGTGTACCTGCCTGTCTTAGTGTATTTACCTGTCATATTGTATCTGTCAGTCATAGCGTCACCCAACGTTTTCAAAATGTCACATATTACTGCCATAGTATCACGAATCATTTTGATACTCCACCACTCATATGTGACACTGTGTCATATCATCATACAAGAGTCAGTGTTACATGTTATCATAATGTCATACTGTTCCACGTGATCATGAGAATAAATTGAGCTTCACTTGTATTTTGAGGACCTTTTACGAGTGATATATACATGTATAAAATATAAAGTAAATCCTATTGCTACTTATATCAAACAGCTGAAATAGTTTAATATATTGTTGGATATGTTAGTAGAGTCTTCATTCCACTTGCTACTTCCATCAGTGTTGAAGAAAAACAAAATATTATCCATGACTCTTATTGGCTGACGCTTCACTACCCTAATGTTGATCACTTGTTTCACACAGTTTGTTGACATATTACACTAGATACGGAACACATAATCTTAGATTCATCACACAAATCCCTGAATCTCTGCTGAAACATAAACTACAATGTATTTCTCCACTACCTATCATTCCCTTGCTAATTGTACATTAAATCAGAACTACAATACTTCCCATCGATATAACAAAACACATATAATTTTACACTTTAATTTGTTATTCTCAGAGAGTTAACTTTTGGTACTGAACATGTCCCACTCTCCACAGAAGACGACCACACGTACCAGACACGACCCGGCAGGAAGAACTCACAGAGGAAACATGATATGGAATCATCGAGGAGGCTGGAGGAGGAGAAGGAGGAAGAAGAGAGACGGCGTGAAGAGGACAGGAGGAGGAACCAGGAACGAGAGAGGAAGAGACTGGAGCATGACTATAAAAGAGGTCACAGGAATGAACAGGCCACACGGGTCACACATGCTCCAGGTGAGGTCATTCAGGGTCATTCATGCTCTAGGTGAGGTCATTCAGGGTCATTCATGCTCCAGGTAAGGTAATTCGTGATCATACATGCCCCAGGTAAGGTAATTCAGGGTCATATATGCTCCAGGAGGGGTTACTAAAGGTCATATATGCTCCAAGTGAGGTCTTTCAGGGTATATATGCTCCAGGTGAGGTCATTCGGGCTCATACGTGCTCCAGGTGAGGTAATTCGGGGTCATACATGCTCCATGTGAGGTCATTCAGGGTCATATATGCTCCAGCAGAGGTCAATAAGGGTCATACATGCTCCCGGTGAAGTCATTCAGGGTCATATATGCTCCAAGTGAGATCATTTGGGGTCATACATGCTCCAGGTGAGGTAATTCGGGGTCATACACGCTTCAGGTCAGGCCATTCAGGGTCACACACGCTATATATACTGTAGGTCATCTAAAGTGTAACATAATCAATTACTGGTCAGGTGTGTTATATTATGCTACAGGTGTCACTTGCTCTAGGTAGTTGTTATATGGTGTCACATGATCTAGGGTGTCACATGATCTAGGGTGTCACATGATCTAGGGTGTCACATGATCTAGGGTGTCACATGATCCAGGGTGTCACATGATCTAGGGGTGTCACATGACCCAGGTGTCACATGATCTAGGTGTCACATGATCCAGGGTGTCACATCATGACCCACATGATCTAGGGTGTCACATGATCTAGGGTGTCACATGACCCAGGGTGTCACATGACCCAGGGTGTCACATGACCAGGGTGTCACATGACCCAGGGTGTCACATGATCCCAGGGTGTGTCACATGACCCAGGGTGTCACATGATCTAGGGTGTCACATGACCCCAGGGTGTCACATGATCTAGGGTGTCACATGACCCAGGGTGTCACATGACCCAGGGTGTCACATGACCCAGGGTGTCACATGACCCAGGGTGTCACATGACCCAGGGTGTCACATGATCTAGGGTGTCACATATGCCACAGTCATCTAGGGGTCATATATGCTCCAAGTACAGTGAGTCAGTGTGGTCAGAACGTGGCAGAAGTGTGTCATAAGTGTCATAACAACAGTAAGATGACACGACACAGTAATGAGACGACTGTGTGAGTATGTTAACATTAGTGATGAAAGTTATTGTATAGGGTGATCTATTAACGAAGTAACTACGAGCCTATGATATATTACAGCTATAACTCTCCATAATATTTATATTGATTATGGGATTATGGTGTCATCTTGGGTATTATATTATCTTTATAGAAGTACAAATATAAGAAATTTAAGTGAGAATGAATGACTCTAGAATACAACCGTAATCTAGTAAAGGTGTGGAAGATGTCACGAATACTGTATGCGGATGATGGTGTGCTATTTGTCCAGGTTGCTGAAGGAGAGTTAAAAGACATTGGGTGTATATTTAGGTGAACTTTATACGAGAAGAATATTACAGGTAAAATATTGGAAAGGGTAGACTCGTTTGAGAGCCACGTCACTATCAGTAAAGGTATTGGGAATGTGATGGAAGGGATAAAAAGGATAAAATGGAGTCTTGAGAATATATATAAATGGGAAGAGTCCAAGTAAGTAGTGTACAAGGGATCTGTATGGAAGATTTACTTGTTTTAATTCTTATGTTTAGGTGTTGTGTTTGAGATGGACGCCCTGTGAACTAGTGAGATAGTCAGGCTATTGATGTAATTAAGACTGAAGAAGTAAAGAGAATTAATGAGGTGAAAAAGAGTCTGTAGGGATGTTTGGATGAGAATACGTGATGGTTATAATAGGAGCTTGACTGGTGACGAAGGTTGATTTTTTGAGAGCACAGTTTGAGATGTATGTGAGAGGAGATAACATGTACAGCCTATACCAGTGGCATTAAAGACAGACAGACAGACAGACAGACACATTTATTTGGCTCAGACGTTTACAAATTAAGGAACACAACTGCTTATCACAACAGTCACATATCAAAAACACAAATTACAATAAAATACATTTACATTATCAAAAAATGGTTATTATTATTGAAGTACTTCCTTATATATGTTGGTATGAACTACAGTACTGTATTTCATTACTGTATCTAACTAAACATATCTATTACTTCACAATGTTATGAATGATTCTTACATTACATTAGTCTGTTGTATTAATTTAGAAAACAAACGACTAGGATGACTTCTATAGAATCTTGGTATATACTTGCATCTCTTTTCCGCGATATAATGATTATTACACTATAGAATAACATGATATCCATCTCCAATAACATTATAACTACATTTAATACAAATACTCACTTCTCTTGGAATATCTACCAGTTACAATGAGGAATATTGTTAGCTCTAAATTTACACATGATAGATCTGAGATTTTTTGGTAACCTTATTAAATATTCTTCAAACTGACATAACTACTACATAATGATGATGTACTGTCAGGTTATCATACCACTAAGTAATTCACTGGTCTTTTAATTTTCTTTCAATAGCATTTTTTAAACCATATTGAATTATGTTGGTTTTGCATCCCCCATATACCTAACATCCTGCAATTATTTAGTATAGATTTAATTTGGTTCAGCCATGGAGAAATTAATCTATCCTTCTTTTTTTACTTCCAGGGGCACTAATACATAAGATAGCTCAGTTTGTTCTGTTCCCATGTATTAACCTTGTCCAGTATACCACCATTTTATGTCTATCAATATGTCATCTACCTAATTTCCATATACTATATTATATATTTTTATTAACATTAAGGACATATTTTAAGAATTTTTCAATGAAGAGTTTCAAATTCCTTATAAATATAATATATTCCCACAACCCATAATACAGTATATATACTGTATAATGAAGTGTTTTGTACCTAACCTAACCTAACATGAGACAAAGGCCAGTGAATTTAAATGAAACATTGTACATAGTGTTGAGAATGAGGATTAACTTTATTTATGTAGGTTGAAGATGTGAGGAAACGTATGAGGGGTGTTTCTACAGGGGGGAGGGGGAGGGGGTGATTTTCTCTCACTTTCTACTCATTTCCTCCACCATCGCTTCCTTACCCTGAGGTCAATGTTTCCTTGGATCCATTACTCTATACAAGAAAAAGGGTGGAAAGCAGGGGAGAGATAACTAAGAAGATTAATAATGATATACAGTACAGTACTTAAAAATGAATAGGACAATAATAATGATAGATTTATAAACTTCTTAACAGCAGTAAATATATGCCACGTAGAATTACCTTATAACAATAACGAAATAACGCCTATAATTTTACAGCAATGACAAAAGTGCTGTAGAATAATTATATTTAGTTAACTGTTTTCTCCTGCTTAATGTAATATGCAGTCCCCTTTACTGGTGCGTTTACAGGGGCTCTTCATATAAACATTCCACATTATTACATTGAGAAATTTGTTTTAATATTGTTTTACGTTCATTCCATAAAATCTGATGTGCTCCTGTAAACGCATTAGTGGTGTGTGTGGCGTCAACCCTCAAGTCAAGATGCTCCAGTGTTAACCACGTTATGGGGCGGGACACGCATATGCACTTGGCCTCACAAACTGTAGATGAATTCGAAGCTTATTTTATCATGATTTTTTTTTTTAATACAGAAAGGTTTAAATGAACTGAGCAGATTTGAAAGTAGATGTAAATTATTTGAGATATTCTAGTACTGGTGTCAATGTTGGGTGACTTAATATAACTTGTGTTACAGCTGGTGTTAGTGGTGGTGGCTCCCTGTTGGCCACGCCCCTAGCCGCCTCCTGCCTCCTCGCCTACATGATTGCTTTATTTCTTTACCATTAACAGCTGGTTATCACCGTAGTTGTTTGCTTGTTTGCTTGCATTATGTACGCTAAAGGTCTCCCCTTATCTTCAGTACACTTTACGGGTAATTTTAAGTGGAATCACATAATCATGTCTTTATTTGTGTATATATGGACCATAAATATATATATCAACAATCTGTATAACTAGCTGTGTAAGATCTAAGTGTAATACATTGAGTGTAAATAAAATGTTGTTTGAATGAGTGTGTTTTTATGCATTACAACCTTATATTGACGTCACAACCTCTCGTATATCACTTTATAATAAAAATAAATAAAATAAAAAGCAACAAACCCTAAGAAGCTTTAATTTCAAAGTAATATTAAATTGTTGTGAACAGCAATACTCACGATAAACAAAATCCCTGAACATTATACACAATGACCAAGATCCACAATAAACTACTAACAGCAGGTGTGAACTACTGTACCTGCTGACGCCTGCGGGTAAAATAATTGCTGTACTCTATTTAGGCCACTTTATTAGATCGAGTTACGTTAAACAATGTCGTTTTCTATCAAACCATATTATTTAATTTCGACTATAATTTGTCTACTTAATTGCTAAAGTTCCTGGTAAACGAAGAAACAGTCTCTGAACTACCAACACAGCGGCATATTCATGAGCTTTAAGCCAGGAGACAATTACTGTAGAGTTGTTTCTGGTGATATATGTCCAAGAATGACAGGGAGATATTGGTCTACGATAAGTGAAAGTGATTCATGAATAATATAATATTGCGTAGTATTTAGCTTGTGCACACCCAGTACTGACCGGGAACGTGAAATTGAAAAAGTAAATAAAGAGAATGATAAGTAACATCCGCTACTAAGTGAGTCCTTGACGAGATGTAATTACTGATATCCGTATGGCATTCCAGCACATGGGAGGAGAGCGCCGGAAAAAATATTTACAACTCGTCTTGTGTATCGCTGGTAATAATCCCCTTTGTTCTGTGTGAAGCGGTCAATAAAGGTGAATTACACGCCATTTTCGGATAATAGAAAGGTTTGATTTGATTACCAAAATCATAAAAACAAATATTATAATTATGTACAGGGTATAACAAAATTTTAAGTATTTTATGTGGCACCTTAAAGCGATTAATGCTTTTATAAATATTTGACAAATTGGAAAAAGGAGACAGAGTTACTTATCACATAAGAAAGTATTGACATAATACTGCTTTTGGAACCTGTGTGTCTTTATTTTCTTTTTTTTACGGGGATTAGCCCACCCGGGCACAGGTCACTGACCCACATCAGGGCCGGGGGGCGAAAATGTAATAATAATAATAATAATAATAATAATAATAATAATAATAATATAATAATTTAAGGCTGTACATGGGGACAGTCTTAAGGAGGGGAAAGACTGTTTCAAAACAATTGTGTTTGAGATAGAGAGTTGATGTACCCCAGGATGCTTTATCCTTCTTCGCCAAAATATGTGTTCTTTAAACTGAACAGTAGTATTAGGATAAATAAGAAAACAAGTAAGAATTGCAGAAGTGAAAATAGAAAATTTATGAAAATATCAAAATGGTAGCTGGAAAAACAGATTGCCTTGGGTTACAGTTGATATAAATCATGTATGTTATTTAGTTATAACCTATATGTGTGTAAATAAAATATAAGTCATATGATATATTTATTCCACTTTTAGATGCATACACACTCATGCAGAACATTTCAGAGGAGGCAGTTATGAACTCAAGTGCACAGATAAATTGCACTGAAATGAGCGCATGAATTTCAGGAAATTAGTAAGAATATTCAAATAATGTCAGCTCACCTTCCCTCCACAATGAAGGGGCCAGACACCTTTATGACACCCTTTTACTATATCTACATCTTTCTCCTTCCCGAGTTAACCCCCTGTGCCAGGATATAAGAAACGGGTTTATGATGATGATACTGTAAAGATAGACCGACTAGTGGGGGGAGCCGGCCAGCCACCTATAATTTAAGAGTGGTCACTGGTCACTGTGCACAGCGAGCGAAAGCTAGACCGCTGTCCGGCTGACCTCTCTACATTGACATTGAACTTCGTCAAATGGTACAGACCGTCTGCACTGACAGCTCGTACGGAGTCAACTCAAGATTTATAATTGCTACTGCAAATAGTTCTAAAAATTAACTAATTTCTATTTAAAATATAAAGCTAAAATTATTACTATTCTTCCCAAGAGTACTCATTATTAGGTTTAATTTCGTGATTTCAAAATAAGTAAGAAAATGGCATTTGCTGTTTACATTTTGACTAAGCGGGAATAACAACATGATGAAGCCAACAGATAAAATAATTTCCCAAGTACGGACACGCCTCTCCGAGGAGTTCTTGGTGGATCAGATAAGGCAGCGCCGCTGTCTCTGGGATCATTAGGACTCTTCATACACCAAAAAAATATGTAGAATTGCTGCGTTTTCTTCGTCAGTTGGATCCATATTTGTTGACACTTGTTGAACAAGGGATACTGGCGAGTTGGTTCTAAACGCATGTGTGATGGTGCACAACAAAGAAGTTTGACGATTTTCTGAAAGTTGACAAAAAACAATTACGAAAGAATACCAGTGTGACGCCACCTAGGCAGGACCCAGAAGTTACTATTCTCAACATACTAGAATGATCAACATTAAGTCTATCAACACAAACTACCATCTCAAACTTAACAAACACATAACATAACCATTTATATTCATTGCAATCACAGATAGTAGGTAGTAGGCAGCTACCAAACAGGGAGGTACTACCGGCTGGGAAGATATAGGAAGCATAATGTGTTGTCTAATGGTAGACCCTGCTGCCATATGTGACCAAGTCCCAGGTTGGTGATCTGACTTTCTGCCTCATTTACACACAATTGAGGAGTCTCAATTGTTTCTCTTACTATTGACAACACAACATATTCATAATTTCTCAGTGATTTCTTTAATTTTTCCATTTCTGTATTTATTTGTGGCTAAGTTTATTTATTTTTTCGTCCCCCAGGCCCCGGTGTAAGTCGGTGACCTGTGCCTGGGTGGGCTAATCCCCGTAAAAATAAATGTATTATATACAATGACTTATTACAATAAAACCATGAAGTGGTAACGTGAATTACTAACAAACACAAGTAGAGTACAATACTTCAAGTATTATACTTGATAAAAATACATACAGTATATGCACTGTGAACAGCTGTCCCTACTCCGACTCATGTACCCTAGTCAACTATTGGCGACTTTGCTCAAGCCAGCTTTAAAACTAACATACAGAATCATGTTCAGTATAAGTACCATAGTTATTTAGTATATTGTTATTAAACATAAATTTATATCGCACGTAACTACTATCCCCCTTGACCCTGTGACGTTGAAAACCTTATCATCCCACACACGAGAACTCCAACAAACATAATGTATAACGCTTGACCCATGCAGATCAAATTCATTAGGAAAAATGGGGAGCTTAGATAAACCATTAACACCCTTCCCTCGAGGAAAAGGTAAGGAATTAAATTAAACTTGCAAATAGTCCTGGGATGGACGTGACAGCAGATATATTTACCGTTATACAGTTGACGGGTAATAAATACTGTATGTAATTATTATTATTATTACGTTAATGTAGTAATAATCAAGATCAACCTCAATATTAATGATGTTCATATATGTTCGAACATAACATTAATAATACCGGGGAGAAACGATAGTCATTTACACACTGCTTGCCTCTAGCACATTTCTCCGCCAGCCTATTTTCGTGACCATTTGACAAAGGTTTCCGTCACTCGGAAATGTGTTATTTTCCGCCCCTAAAACAACGTGGCATAAAAAGAAATTAAAAAGAAACACAGCCGATAATTTGATGGGTGGCGCCACAGCACAAAGACCTCAGCCCACACTCCTGGCAGACCATTAACCGGCAACCAATCAGAGGCTCAGTGGGGGGCAGCTTGTGAACCCCAGAAGCCAATCACGGACCAACTGCCAGGCTTTGAATACCACACGTCATTATGTTGTGTGGAGACTTTCGCTGTGCTGGTCAACTTTTATGGCACCTAACCTCATAATTACACATCATATACAAACAATACCTCACTATTCGGGAATCGAGCCTTGGACCTCCGCATGTGAACAGGTAATCACTACCACCTCGCTAACTACGTGGTCGGAGTAGCATTTTACCGAATCCAGTTAGGAAACACGAGCACATAGTTGGCACGGGCAATCCCTAATGGAGGCTCACTGCGCTTAATAAGCTTTGTGTGGAATATAACAAAGCTTGGGATTGTTTTTGTTGTTCTTGTGGCTCATAGGTTGCTTCATTGTAGTTCCTCATGCACCAAGATTAACTTTGACATTATTCTTGTGGGTGTCTCATAAGAAAAGGCTTTAACTGTAGGAAAAATCAACGTATTCACAGATTACTTCACTCATCTGTTAAATGCCAAGAAACATTAACATTTTACTAAAAAAAAAATATGATGGATTGGTTTCATAAATGGGAAAAAGACTGTGATTGCAAATTGAAAATATCGTAAGGTAGACGTGATGATAATGCTTTTTCTTTCATGCAGTATTGTACTCAGTCATTTTTGTATAGTAAAAAGTAATTACTATTGACTTCGGAATATCTCTTAATATCAAGTGCACATGGCTTCAAAATGTAGATGATTTAAGAAAAACCTGGGGCTTACAGCGCCTCCCTCCCCCTTAACCCCCCAGCTGGGTGGTCTCGCTGTGCTCACCATGTTCTCCCCCCCACACCGTTTTGGACCCTCCCTTTTGAGATTCCTGGACCTGCCTCTGTTTTGGGTTAGGTAGGATATAAATTTCTCTGGGTTGACCTGCAGAAAAATACCTAAATCGTAAAGCGGCCCATGACTGAGGAATGGTTACCCAGGCGGCACATGTCTGGGTTAGGTTAAGGATAGCTTTGTAGACCGCATGCTATAATAGTACCCTTTACCTAACCTATAAAAATCTAAAAACTTTAAAACACTTGTCTTATTAGTGTTTAAGGTGTCTAGTGGGCATTGGTGAAGTTTTCGGTGTTCAGATGAAAAAGGGGGGGAATCCATGAACTCGAAAGCTAATTTTAACCCTCCTTTTTTAGGTTAGGAAAGGTTAGGTAATGCTTTCAGAGGTTTGTCCAGTGTTTTTTTCAGTATTTTACCCCACATTAAAACATTTCAGTGTAGAACATTGAAAGTTTAAAGGGCCATATTTCTAAAAGGAAAAAAAATCACATATTTGGAATCAACATAAATATATATAATAGTAAAAAATATATATCCATTTTTGGGTTGCGGTACGTGAAACTGAAAAGATCCATATATATAGTATATTATTTTATACAATAGTAAATAAATTAGCAGAGAAAACAGCTGATTATAATTTTCTTGTAGTATATAGATTATACTCTTAAAATGTGATTACTCATGATAAGTTCCTATTTATCAAGTATATTTTGTATATAAAAATAGCCGTGAATAGTAAAATTTCAGAAAACATTAAAATACAATGAATTATATATTTTCTATATTAATTAGTTATGTTTTTATTCAATGCCAGAGACAGTATTGGAACCTGTGGCTAGTGTGTGGGGAGGATCAATGACAAGACTCTCGGGCGGGTTATTCCCTTACTAATAAGAGGCCGCTATATTACGGTGGCAGCTGTTGCATGCTGGAATAGAGGCTCACAGTGCATGGAGGTAAAACTAAAATAGGCCATCAGAATATATGTGTGTTTCCTCTTGAGATAAAGTAGAAAAAGGATACTATTTGAGTCTTCCATTTTGTTTTCTTTGGTAGTCTTTTTATTTACGTAGTTTATTGTCATAGAAGAATATGTTTGTGGCTGGATTATATTAACCTGAGATTATCTAGTGGGGGTTAAATATCATGTGATGTACCTATGGAGAGAGTGTTAAATATAGCCAGGTTAATTTAATGAAAGTTAGGGGTCTAGATGTTTAGTTTCTGATGTATTTGGGTGTGCTAAAAGGAATAATTACCATTATCTCATTTTTACATTGGGTTCAACACATACAAACACTAGCTAGTAGTTCTGGAAGGAGAGGGATCAGTATTGTATAAGCTGCCACCCACCAAATGTCGAGAATTTTATTTTTTGCAATCCATAGTTTAGACAATTTTAAGACATTTCTTCTATGACTTTTCCCTCGCAAATGACTGTACTCCTCTGAAAAAATCTGTCGTGTCACCTCGTGTTGTCATCTGAGGTTTGTTTCCGACCTACCCGCTCAGTCCGCAAAAAAAAAATTTAAATTACACCATGACACTTTCATTGGTACTTGATATCAAAATAGGAAGGAAATTAGGTAAGGTTAGGTAGGTTTCTATGGTTGGTTAGGTACTTGTAAATGTCACCTCATATAAAACGATAACTATAGTGATAAGAACATGTGGAAAATTAACATAATCAAACAACATCATCTGGTGGTAGTGATGTTCTCAAACAATACCAAAGTTACTCTTTGTCTTACCTCAAGAATAACCTAAATCACGAGGAGGAATTATACATGTTTTGTATTTTGTTTTCCTGTAGTTTTTCCCGGAAGATAATTCATTCCCATCCACACGACGATGCCATGATTGCACTTGAACTGTTTAGGAATCTTGTTATTTTATTACAGTAATTATACTTTGACAGCTAAACCTTGACTGAGTATAACAAGGGAGAAGTTATGTAAGGTTTGGCAAGCTTATTAAGGCCTTACAATAGGTAATAGACAGATTGATTGATTGACTGCTAGCATGTAACCCAAAACCATTTAATTTACTCAACCCAGTCCTGCTCTGCTCAGCCCAGACTCAAGACGTCAGTACTTCCATCATTTATTTTATGCAAATTACTGTCCTTCACAAAATTAAGGTAAGAATATGTATTTTCCTTTAAGTTCAAGTAAGGTTGGGCTGGGCTGAATTAGGTTGGTCATGTGATGATCAGAAAAAATCTTACCCAGCCTGATTCAATGTCATTTAACTTTTCTTTCATTGTTTTAATCTTTCTAGAAACCCACATTTCCTCACTTTTCTTACTTTTACCGGACATTAGGTGACTGTGATGCTGCTTTTGTGACTGCTGTACATTGTTTTCATAAATTTGCAACTTAGTTTTCAAAGGTGGGCAGTTGCAGCGCACATTTTTCCAGAGTTGCGGAACTGGTTGCGGCACAACTTTTACAAGAATTTTCAAGCGTAACGCGCAAAATTTTTCGGCAATAATTTAAAATTGGAATACAACTGCATATACAAACGGGCATCCCTAGAGCTGGGATTACGAAAATTTCTGTTTCTGACAATGATTCAGCATACACATGATACAGGTCGGGCAGCATATTTCTGAACTGTAAACCAGATGAGACCCCCCCCCCCCTCCGTCGCTCCCTCATTCCCCTTCCCTCGCTGTAGTTGCCAGATTTCATCTTTCACATAAACTCTAGAAACTAGAGTTAATGTGAAAGATGAAATCTGGCAACTACAGCGAGGGAAGGGGAGGGAGGAATGATTCATATCATAACCAGTCAGGCAGTCAGTAGCACTGCAGCTAAGGCGTCAGTTTCTTGTTGTTTTGTTGCTTGTTATTACTGGCATTATGGATTTTTTGTGACGAGGATGAGTCTGTGGCTGGCAGCAGTGATCCTGCCGCTGCCGACCAGGACATGGACACGGAAGTTGAAGTGACTGAGGCCAGTGGCAGTGAGGCATTTTTTTTTAATTTTTTAATAAAATATTGATATTAACTTTTTTGTATCAATTATATTTTATTTTACTTGTAAATAGGCAATTCTTTTTATTTTAGTATTTGTTTATTTATTTATTTTTAAAGTTGCACGTTGCGGTTGTGCTTCCGGCGAAACTCTTTGAAAATGGTTGCGATTGCGGCGCCCCAAAAAAAAGTTGCGCGTGCCCACCTTTGTTAGTTTATCTATCTACCTCCTGGGTTGCTTTAAAAAAATTCAAAATAACAAGAAATGAAATTATGCTTATCTCTTTCTTCAGTTTTTAAGACATACTGTATTCTGTTACAAAGTAAACTACTGTACTGTACAGGTATTGCCTGGTATTCATTAAAATATTAAAGATACCTGTACCCTGTATGATAAAGGAGTGGCTGTGGTACAGTAGACGTCAGTAGTATGAGAAGATTTCATATTTTTAATGACATTTAGACGTTCTTATTCACATGTCATCAGGAACTTTTTATCATCATGACTGTGAAGGCAGAGCAGTAATCCTTATCAATGTACAGTGTAGTATAGGAGAAGTATTGATTATATAGCCATGGCATCATTAAGGACTGTCATAAAGATTAGACTACAGGTGAAAACAGCTGAGGAAGAATACCAAACACTAAAACAGAAGGTTTTGGTCAGCAGCAGTGTTGGCAAGGTTTTGGAAACTGGCTTAACCCTTTCATTGTGTCAGAGTTTCAGGTTGGCTCCCAATAAGTGTTATTTTTCCATCACTAAATGAAACTGTTCATACAAACTTTTGTAATAATTTTTCTAATAAAAAGATACCATGCATGACACATAATTTCTTTAAAAAGCATTATTATGTGGAGAAAAATGCTTTTTATTACATTATAAGATGGCAATATAATATCCGTAAGATTTATATGAATCCTAAATCCTTAAGTTTCATATACAGTACCGGTAATAGACACAAGTAAACCATTCTTAGTTATAATGATAAAGGGTCTTGTTGATACAGTATTTGGATATCATCGTCTAAATTTACAGTAAATCCTCACAATTTCAGACTAATTGGGGAAAAGGCCAGTCCAAAAATATAAATTCTCAATTCCCAAATTGGATCTCCCTCCCCTGGTGAACCTAAGAAAGGCTACTAGTCCCTCTCCCACCCAATGCACAGGTAACTGGTCAATGCCCCATTCTCTACAGCAGTGCCATTCAACTTTTTGTTCTTATTTTGTGTACCCCTTGGACAATTTAATAATGACTGTGCTGTACTTGGGACCCACTTTCTTCCATAATGAAGTTGACTTTGAATATGAAGAAAACGTCATTACAGTATGCGTTAATTATACAGAACCATTTTTTGTCTGGTAATATTGCAAGTTTTTGTGTAATTTTGGATCTAAATTTTTTGCATGCCATATTCTTGTCATAATATATCAGGACATGACATGAATATGGTGCAAAAAAAAAAGTTAAGTTTCAAAAATACTGTATGCAAAATCTAGCGATATTATCCGAAATAAAAAATGGTCCTGTATATTGTACAGTACTGTATAGCTTCTTGTACCTGTATCTGTAACTAACCCTACCCCTTGTTGATTTTAAGTAAGCATAACACATATTGAATGTGGTAATATCTTTCATGATGAGTTTAATGTAAGAAAAATATGGCTACTGTAATGGTAAGTTGAAGCTTGGGATAAACACTTGGTGCTTGGAATAAAGAAGTATACTGTGCTGTACATGACTTTATTTTGTAGTGGTATGGCGAGTGGAGGTGGGGACAGGCTGCGAGTGGTGACGGCGGAGAACCTGCGGCACAAAATGGATGCTCTCGTGTCTGACCTTTCACACGCCCTGGATGAATCTCAACTTCCACAATACCACCGCAAGAGACGTGGGTTCAAACGGCGTGTCAAGTTAGCTAACAATCTAAGTAAGGAGTTGTATACAGTATATATTATTTATCTCATGATTGCATATTAATTAAAGTGAACTTCTAGATGGCTTTTTACATGTGTTGACAATGAAGATAAGATGCTCATTTTTACAAATTTTCTAGCCCTTGACCAAGAGAGAGTAACTGTGACAAACTAATGTACTGAGTAGAAAGATCATTTACCCTGGTCTGTGCTGATGCAACTCAACAACAGGTTTTGGTCGGCTTTCTTGGTTATAAGGCCAAGCACATTACTGATGTCTTTCAAAGGCAGTAATAGAGTTGTATCACTAATGACCTCCTCCCATTTTTTACCAAACTCTACATGGGTTGGTGGGTTTATATCCATCTAGAATCAACTGTTATGATGATTTGCATGTCCACTTATGCAAAACACTTCCTTTTCACTGTCACCTTCCATTTGTAAAACTCTTATCACTGGTTGCAATCATCTCGTGAAGTTCTTGCACCATGTGAACTTTGATTGGGTGAGAGATCGTCTTTCAGTATGTGTCGGGCCTGTCAGCAGGAACTTCGTGACACATATCTATTGTAATGAATTTTCTGGTTGATTTTTTTGCATCATTCAGGATATATCCCAGCACCAAATTTTTATTTTGGTCAACCTCTCTATGGTATACAGTATACAGTTTAACTCAAACATTCTTGAATTAACTTTTGATTTTATTAGGTGATTATTATTGTTAATCCTAGGACTTGGATTATTACTTTTATTCATTCCTCTCAGGTTTATCTACGAACCGTGCACTGAGCGAAGATTCGTCTAGCAGTATCGGTGAAGTTGTTCTCTCTCAGGATAACAAATCCTCAATACCTCTCACGGATTCTGATGATATGAGTCCCCCTCCTGAGCTACGCCACCGCACCCAACTTTTGACACATCAAAGAGCGCCTTCAAACCTCGCAGAATCTGACTCAGTCAATGAGAACTTCTCACCAGCTCGGCCTCACAATCGCAGGTAGGTATTGGAATTTCTCAAAAGTGATAGGATTGTGGCTTTTAAGTGGAAATATATTACACCAGATAGCCTTAGATAAGAAAAAATGGAAGTTACTAGTTAATTTATGCCAGTACCGTATATGAAGGAAGACTATTGGGTTGATATCAACTGATAGTTTTCTTTGAAAATTTACTTCTAGGAAGAAACTCAACAGTTTTGGAAAATAATAAGTGTTTCAAATGGCTTGTGGGAATTGAAGTTTTAATCTAAGTTTGATTAATATTGCACAATAATCAAATTACTGAATCAAAAAAGAAAGAAAATAAGACATTAAAGCTCATAGGTACACATGAGATTTATAATTTGCCACAAGTGTGCCTGCAACACAGTTTATTGTTGTACAGTAGCCTCAGGTTATTTTGTGAGCTAGGGACCAAGAGCATTTATGAAGTATCCGTAGAAAATTGTGATTTAAAATTACAGTAAATGAAAGTCAATACAAAATAAGGGTTTAGGGACCAGAGGCCCCCCCCCCAAAAAAAAAATCACCATTGTGTTTGCCTTTCCCCCTGAACCTCAAACTCCAAGATTCAGACTCGTGAACCTGAAACATTAGGCCGATACATTATTGGGTTCATGAGTCTGAATCTCGGGGTTCATGGTTCAAGGGGAGAGGTGAACAGACATTACTAGTTGACTGTACACTGTAGGGTAGTCCAAATTATAGGGTGAAAATTTGAAAGTTGTCTGAACCAAGCGAGCACATGGTGCCCTCGTTGTACTTCATGTACACTAGTGACGCTTTGTATAAAATTTGAAGAAAATTGGATGATGTTTAGGGGTCCCGCAAAACGTTTAGTTATTTTAGTCTCGTGAAAATTCTAGCTCACCTCAGGGACGATTACAAGGAACTCATCATTCTCTCATACACCTTCATGGGGGAAATTCCAGAGGGAGGTGTGAAGATCAGGGCACCTGGGGCATTCCACCAAGTCAGATGGATGGCAAAGACCAATTATGCTTTTAAGATCTTTTAATTTTTGGACCACCCTAGCCTACTAAAAAGAATATTTCACAATAATAATAATAATAATAAAATAATGCAATACTGGACATCACAGCTATACAGTCTCCATCTGACTCAACGTAGGTAATACTTCAAGACATTTATGTACATCAATGACCAACTACAGGAAATTAATCTATAGAAGGAAAATGTATTACAGTATTACCCCATAAAAATATATTGTCCTTAATATTAAATTTTTTCCGAGGAGGAAACTAAGTCTGTCACAGTTGTAAACGTTGGAGCTATTGTTGTTGTTGTGCATCGCTGTTCATGTGTTCAGGACGGCATGCACAAAGTCATGACCCACTACATAGAGTACAGGAGTATAGATAATTAAAAAATAATAATAATAATTCCTGTATCAAGGAACAATATCTTATCACACTCAGTTCATTAATCTATTGTTTTATTGCAGTAAAGTGGCGATAGGTTACATATATCATCGTTTGCTCAAAGTGCTGTTAATGTTTCTTATTTCTGTTGTGTAAGTGCTATGCATGACAGCCTGCATTGTTTTACGAAGAATGTTTACTCTTTTAATGAATATCATTCTCATTTGCCAACATAACCTGAGGCTATTGTATCTGCGAGTGAGGCTAGGTTCAGTATAAAGTGGAGTGCAAGCTCATAAATCAAACTCATTCTGTTGTTTACACTCAACAGAAGATGATAACAGTGGGCATCAAAAATACATTATAGTTCTGATAAACTTGATATTCATGTTACTATAAGTCCCCCAAAGAGAAGCTTATGGTGGGTGTGTAAGCAATACTGTGCTGTACGTTTATAACCTGTGGTAAGGAAGTGGAAAATGGAAATGAATCTGAAGTAAGCCCATTGTTATACTGTATAGGTGGTACTGTGTGTCTATATTGCATGAGTTGATGTAAGAGTAACTACTGAAAGAGTATTATATCAATGTGATGATGTTGGTGTAGATGTTGTGGAAGGTGAAGTATAAATTGGAGAGAATGAATATACTTGTGAGAGAACTAATGCAGATGAATATGTATTTATGTTAGTTAAGTCTGTAATCTAAATATTCTGTATATATTGTGATATAAATCCTCTTGATTCATTACTGGGACTAATCTGTGGTGGCCCTGGGAGAATCCTTAATTGGGAGGGTTTCCTTATTTCTCCCATGTACACTAAATAATACATTCCACACCACACTCGGTTTTAATTATGCACTTGTGATCATTACATTATTCTCGGTCATGCCCCCCCCCCCACGGGAAAAAATCCAAAACACTTAAAACTTGATAAAAATTATATGAAATACTATAAATACAAATATATATGAAATGCAATTGAAAAGGCATGTGCAGAATTTCTATCTCAGGGCTTTTCATCAATTGACCGCCTGTATAAAGATTATTATTTTTACATTTATTGAAGGTTGGTCATTTAAAGGTTAGGTGGGTACTTTAGCAGCCCGAGGGTTTAGACGGAAGGGATGTGACATGCACCACACCAACTGACCAATAGCAGACAGTCATTCCAATTAACAGATTCTCCTTGCTTGGTCCACAAATTATATTGAACAAAAACATGTCCATTGTTGGGATTATCTGGTATTGAGAAGTCCATTATTGGGAGGGTTTACTGTATTTGTCATTCATTTAAATTTTGACATAAGATATTATATAATGTAAGGGGAATTATTGTAGACTGTGTTTCTTAATGTGTAATTATTTTCCATTTGACTTTCATTTATAACATATGATTACTTTTGACAAATGTGAAATATGGTCAGAAGTCCACTAATGGCTTTCAGTGTCAACCCTTTCTTATGTAGGAAGAGGAAATGCAAGAGGTTGGCCTTGGACCCTGATGCACCATCCACCTCCACCACACAAGCCTCATCTGGACTGCCCATGGCTAAGCCCACAGCCATTGCCTCAGCTATCTTATCCGGAGCTTCAAACGGTCGCAGGAAGAAAGTTCTAAGACCATCGCCTGACTCCGAGTGCCGGTAAGGAATTTTTGTAGCTTAGATGGTCATTTGTGCTGTATTTACCATTATTATCTTTTCATAGTGTACAAAGGTAGTTCAATTGTATTCTTTTATAGGCACTGGCTATTAAGGATTTATCAGTTCATAGTATATCTTTGTACTGTATATGACAAAATTTTTGGGTGCTCTTTAAAATTCCCTTTACAAGTATCTTTCTAACCTAATAGCACTACCCTAAATTACCTGTCCTTACTACAGCATATTTCCTTAGTTCTATGATTCTACCTTACCAGAGTCTTGGAGCCTGAGTGTACAGTAGTCCTTGGTCAGGTGCCAAATTACACTGCATGCTGAGGAGGACTAGAGTGCACTTGTACAGTAGTTGTTTTGAGATCTGTAAGAGCTTCAGTCTTAATTATACGGCACTGTACTGTAGTTGTATTAATGAATGGAAAAAAGAATGGAATATGACTCTAAATAATATAAGAAATATAATCTTTGTTACACAGTGGATATTATCATAAAGAAAAGGAGTTTGTTTTAACCAGATTAAGAATAGCCAATGTTGTTAGACACCTTATCCTCTTAATGAACAGAACACTTTGTTTGTAACATTGTCTTGTGACCATAAAACACTTACTCATAAAATCGATTTAAAAATTGGAATAAGATTTCAAGGAAAATAAATGTATTAAGAAAAGGAAATCTAGACACTCCCCTGGTTAAGAATGACTCGGATTACGGATTTCCTACTTTACAGATCCCATCCGTCCTACCGGTATTTAAAATGAGCGGCAAGTAATTTCCAAGCTGAATGGGGAGATCTCCAACCATACCTCACCTGTGAGCTCATTGTTATGTAAAGGTTATTTTTTAACTCTTAATTTCAGTTATATACATCTTATTTTTTAATCTTTTATTTAATTACATACACCCTGAATCTTACATAGCCATAGAAAGTGCAAGAAAATAATAAAAGAAATACCGGCAACAATCATAGATAGTAAAGTATTTTTAATTTGTAATTTCAGATAGATATTCTCTTAAATTATTTTTACTCAGTTACACAGACACAATCCTACATAAAGAAAGTGCAAAAATAAATAAAATAAATAATTATCATAAGGTATAAAGTTATATGTAGCTACAGGCTCCCACCATGAAGCTGTGTGGTAAGTGTGGAGGTCAGAGTGCCCCTGGCACAGCACTAACTTGTATCAAATTTGCTCTCTTTATGCTTATGATTACCTATGGAAGGGTCACATCCGGCTTATGGATAATTCGGCTTATGATATTAGCCTCCAGGAATGGAACCCATCCGTAATCCGGAGTGTCTGCACCAATATTATAAAAGAACCTACAGTACCTACAGTAGATGTTACAGAAAGGCACTGGGTAATATTAGTTTATGGTAGTTATAATAACATGGGTTATACATGACTGAACCTTATTGAGAGCAATAGGTGTCTTACAAGCACCTGGAAGGAACATGGTTGAGTTATGAGAACATTCACTAAGGTAGAGGTTAGTAACTCAGTACTTTTCACTTTAGTGCCACGTACTGTAATGGATGTCTGTGTATATGTGTATCGTAAATAATTTATCTGTTAACAGGTATCTAGCAATATCTGCTGGTAAACGGAAGCGGGGCAGAGAACGCAGCGTGGAGTGGTGTGGCGGGCAGCACGTGTCACACAGCAAGCGTCATGGATCATCGTCAAGTCACTTTCACAACCTACGAGTCCACCGGGCATCCCAACCAAGCACTGAGGACAGCATGGAATATGATCACTCAGATGATGCTAATATGTAGGTCATAGAAACTCTGTAAAGGGTCATATATAGAGGGTCAGGTTTGGCATAAATCTATTTTAGGAATTTGATTGAGTATGTTTATAAAAAAGATATTCATAGTGTGTCTAAGGGTTCAAATTCAACCCTTACAAAAATAAAGAACTAATGGGAAGATCAGTATCTCCCCAAGATGCCTGAATATTTGTACCAGCATCTGTTTAAATTCTGTGATTCAGAGTTGGCATGATGCTGAATTTTAGCCCCAAAAGACACACTACAATATAATCATATACCTGTACTGTACAGTATATGCATGTTTCTACAACAGCATCATGCAATCTTTGAGACCCTGGTACTACCTGTTCACTTACATTGTACCATCTTGAATTACAGGGTAAAAGTATATAGTACTGTATCTATTGACAATTGGTTAGAATTTTTGTAAGGATTGACTTGCTTAGTTTGATGTAAATGAAGTAAAACTTTAGTTTGTTGTGCACTGTACCAGCATTCCCCATTTGTGTACTTGTGTTTTATGGATGGTCACAGGATTTTGCATTTCATTTTGAATTGGGAATAATTAGTGGTATTATAATGTAAATTGGCAAGTGTGAAATGAGATAAGGTAAGTCTGAAAGTGGGAGGAATGTTTGTGCTTAGTGGGGGAGGAGTGTTGAGAGTGTGCTGCCATAACACAATACAGTATTAGGAAAACAGGTTAGTCTCTTCATTGAGTTGAACTTGTTTTCTTGGGAAATTACAACTACTCAACTTTCTGGGTGGCTAAAATTAAAAAAAATGATAAATAAATAAAGTTAAAAGTCCAGGTTATCAAGCTATGTAGTTCTGTTACTGGTTGCAGCAGATGTGTAGGACTGTGTTGAGATATTTACCAGCTTTAGAATACAGCTGCAGTAAGGCATAACATTGTTTTGTCATAATTTATGAAATATGTTCTGCCAACATTACTTATGATAGTTTATTGTTTTTGTGAGACGGTTTGATAAGATGACTTGTCAACTTTCAGGGAACACAGCAGCAGTGAAAGCAGCACTGAGAGCGAGACTGGTATTTATACGTGTGATGAAGGCAGGGAAGCGGATGACGAGCAGAGCGATTGGTTTGCTGAACCAGATCCTGTGTATGGGGTTCCTGGTTCAACGAACACACCTCGGCAGAGAAATGCTTCAAATCGTCTCTCCTGGTGGAATGACAATGAATTTGGTCTCTCATCATCTGCTAAGGTACTATACATCAATTCTTGGTATTTTTTAATACTTGTTTTGTGATTAAAACTAGTCACTTCCGTATCTGTAAATCCAGTTTCAAGGTTTTCCCTAGGTCATTGTTTTCATTGGCAAAATCCTGGTCTGTGGCTCAATGTAAATGAATCATTATATTTTGGAAGTCTTAGTCAACATTGAACTTTTCCAAGGCTTACCTTAACTGTACAGCTTCAAAAGATGTAGTAAAACCTAAAGACTGGTATTAATTTCAAGCAAAGGCGATATACAGTACAAACCTCCTCAGGACATTACAGTATTTTTACTTCACTAAGTTAATGATGAAAACATAATAGCAATATAAATCTCCTGCAGTATTCCTCATCCTCATGTTTCTCTGATACAGTTTGTACTGTGTTGCCAGTAAAAGATTTAAAATTCATTAATATTATGTACGTTGAAAATGAACGTGGTAATATATTTTCATGGTGATGTACAGGTATGCTTTGTTATGAAGCTGTGACCACGTATTTCATAGTCAAATAAAATAATTACTCAAGAATAAATATTCACCTTTAAAACATGATAATTATGTGTTAATGTTATGTCATTTTGTAGAATTTGTTCTAATGCTTTACAAGTGTTAAATAACATCATTATTAGTCTTATTTTGAAATTAAAGTATATAGGACATAATACAGTAAACATTTTCCTAGAACCAATACAGTAGATGGTCTGCACAATGTACTACAAAAATTACAGTTGATCAGTTATAGTGCTGTACTGTACATAACTTAAAGGGGTAGCATGGCTTCCTTAACAGTGCTTGGTACTTTGCTGCTGTGGACCTTACTAAAAAAAATTGAAGTGGCCACTTTTTTATCTGTAAGTAAAAATTTGAAGTTGCTCAGTAAAATTTTGCCTTATGAGAATATAAACATTATATAATTCTCATCATTATCCTGATTTCACAGTATTGAGTCTTGTGTACAGTATGTTAAGTTTCAGTCTCTCTTTGAATTTATGGTACTATTAAGCACACAAAATATCCTAAGAAATTGCCAAACACTGAAAATGTCATCACTCAGTCTTAATACCTTATTATATTAATGGTATTGATACCTTGCACAGTTCTAAGTGAACTGAGAACATTGTTCAACTGTAATTTTTAGTAAATGTCTGGGTAAAAAGGACAATATATTGTAGAGACAGTGGTAATAGTAGTATATGTTATGAATGTTGCATGCAGTAGCGTTCTTTGCTCATGTTGACCATTTGACAGAGCAAAAAAATATATAGCCCCAAATTTAACCAACATTTTATTAATTTTAGAGGAAAGTCAGCATTTTAGATTTGAAGTTTGAAATTAAATTAACTAATATTAGCCAAAGTTATATATTTTGCCTTTGAGAGTTTTGAATTTTAATCAATATTGTTATGGGTTCTTTAGATTAAATATTTCAATAAATCTCTGCCAAAGTTATCCATAGTTCTTATGCATTATAAATTAGATTTTTTATAATTAGTGATGTCATTAACTTTGATTATCTACATGAGCACAGAGTGTTAATTAACTCAGAGTTAACTCAGTTGCAGAAGCACACGTTAACCATGGGTTATGGTCCAGTGGCATCCTGTGTGACCACAGTCTTGAACCTCATGCAGTACTTGGCTATCCATGCATTACTTATTCATATAACATGATCCATGACTGTTCATCTCAGTTGTGTGTATAGACTATGGTTAATCTGAGCTGTACTTATCCAACACCTGTTAATTGAAGTAGATTAATTTGGGATAATAGGTAGAAGGGAAATGGAGTTTATGTTGTGGCGATTAATGTCCTTTAGACAGTGTTAATGCTGCTGTTGCCAAGAATAGGGTAGATAGCAAAAGATAAGTAGGATGGTAATGGTGAATCAAGCATCCAGCTACAGACATTGGCACCATGAGTCATAGCAAAGCTCTGTAATGGTAGGTACAGTCTTAGATCAATTATAGGAATTCACTGGTGTTACTGAAGAGGAATGTCAGAATTTGGATAACAGAAGGGTGATGATTTAAAAGGGCATGTCCATCAGTGGTCTTTAGTTTGTGTGTGTGTGTGGGGGGGGAGTGTTGAGAAAGGACCTTGTGGTTAATGGGAATGTAGTATACAGTCTTTTCTAGGTAATAAAAAGTGTGTGTGTGTGTGTGCTTGCATGTCTGTCTCTGGTGTTATATCTATACAGTATAAGGATATATAGACTACACTTGACCCACTCAGAGGATAATGTAAGAAAGGAGACTAGTGAATGGACATAGATGGATTTTTCCAGGTCTAATGTGACCTTTCCTGTTCCATAGTAATATATCTCACAGAGAACTTCCCTTATGTGCTGAACCTAACTGCATTCCCCACATTATCTGCCATCTTTCTTTTGATATCACCGCTCTAGATATCAAAGTTAGGTGCAGTAAGTGAACTAGGTTCTCCATGGCCCATTTTACCATACAACAGGCAAGGTTATATTATATACTGTACTAAGAGGAATAAATCCGTATCCATCCACTAAAACATTATCCAGTATTTAGTGGGATGGTCAAACACAGTCATTTCCATACGTTCTACATTGTCTGATCTAGCTCACCTGATTTCTCAACTTACCGTTGTATTTTTATAAGGCATTTAATCGGTAACATCTTTTGGATTAAAACCTCTCAGTTCGGCACCACTGTCATCTTCTGTCCTCATTCTATCATCTACTTCTATGTTTAAGGAAAATTTTTGTAAATGGCCATTTTTCATTATTGTTTTGATCAAAACTCAGTTTACAACTTCAGCAATTTGCTTGTCTCTTAAAATACTATATGATACTTTAGCACCCAGTTTCAGCCATTTTTTTATTTTTTAATTCAGTTTGCTATAGAATATTGTAGTCAGTCACTGTACATTATCACTTTTACAACACACTCCACTTTTTATTCTTCCCCCTCATAATATTTAAACCTATTTTGCCTTTTTCATTACAAAAAGAAGAAAACCACTTGTGTTCTTTGAATCCATGAAGCTAGTATTCTCCTTTAGTTTATGTTGACCAGTGAACAAGTTCCTTACAAAAAGTTAGAAAAAGTGGAAACTGTGTTGACTGTAGCTGAATACAGTACATCAGTTCGAGAGAGAACAAGTGGCGGTAGATGAAGGGAGAATCTGTGTTGTTAATAATTTGGGCTGTGTCTGTAAGCAGTAAATGTGTTTATATTTGAATGATTGTATTGCATATAGTGATTCTGGTTTGTTTCTGTATGTTATCTGCTTGAAAAGTGAAGAAGGCGCTGATGGATTGTTCAGTAGATTTTTCTGATTCATTTAAGAGAGCAGATAATAATGTCTTGTAACCTTAAGATGTTCTCTATAGCTCATGAGAACAGTGGGGTAATGGCTGTGTCCCATAGAGTACCTGCCAGTAAAAGTGAAGGATGGTGTTAGTTGCTTCCCTCTGTTGACGGGTGGCGTGAGTTGCTTCCCTCTTTCCTTTCCAGGCTCTGTTCAAAGAGAGGTATGAGACAATGTCCGTGGAGAACCAACAAGCCTGCAGACTCAGATTCCAAAAGCTGAGAGAGAGGCTTTTGGTGAGTATTGGCGTATCATGCACCCTGTTATTTTCAGACAAGGTGGATAGTTTGTCGACTCGTGTGGGGGCCTGTAGTTGGTGGAGGCTAATTCCATTAATTGTGTTTTACTCTCAAAGTGTCAGGTCAGGAGAGAGTAAGAGTGTTTGTAGATTAATTACCTATCAGTAGAATGAAATTTGATTAAATCATAGGTCATGGTTTTGTAGTTTACAAAATGGTGTTTTTGCATGTTTTTGTTTATTATTTATCAAAGGGAAAATTAAAAAAAAAAATAGGTTTCCTGACGCTTTGAGGGTTGAGATGATAAAAGTTTTTCAGAAATTGAAGGAGAATAAGAGCTGAATCTTGCAAATTCTCTCTAGGGTAATACTCCAAGAAAAGTTAGGTAATTTGAGCTGAATTCTTACCATGCTTAAAGAAATCTTGTGTTGAAAAGTATATCTAATTTGTTTTATGAATCACATATCTTCATAGTGTAATAATTGAATCTTCATTGAATGAGATGAATGAACGAGATTCAGCTCAGTTCACAGTTCATTGCCTTAACAGGTGCTGAGGTAGGAATAACTGAAATATAAATATGCTGTGATATTAATTCGATTGACATTCCAGAGACGTGAAATTCGTGCTGGACGTAGAAGAATACGAGACAGGAAGCCCGGTTTCAGTATAGTATCGTCAGTGAATGATAAAGTCTCGCGATTCTTGCAGGTGGGTGAAGGACTACAGTACTGTATAAGAAATTCATATCATACACACTTCTGTTCTTCCCACCTTTTCATATTGTTGTTGCTATCCCCAAGGAAACAGATCATCGTTTCACATAAAGATATTGCAAGTAAAATGTAAAAGTTTAAAGAACAAGTGTTGAAAAAACCCAAGTACTGGGATAATTAAACCATAGCAATGTCGTTAATGAGACGGAATATGTTATTCAGACATCCATATCAGCAGGGAGGCACAACTGTTCAAGACAACGGCTAGCATATTACATATCTCATGATAAATTAGTTCAAGTAAAATTATCTTACTGTACTTAACTTAAAGTAAATTCAATTGTTTTTTATTTAAAGTGTTAACAGATCTAGGTAAGGGTCTAGATTTTAGAAGCTTTTGGAGCCACAGAGAAGATTTTTGAAGGTTACCGAATCCCAACGTATGTATATACTGTATGTGGAATGGATGGCCTTGTGTAGTGTGATATAAAGTGGATGATACACCGGGGTATACTGATGTACACTAGGGTACTCTTAGGTGGGTATGAGAGGAAGATACAGTAAGTCGTCACTATACCTTGAGGGCTGTATTGTTGGAAAGTGGCACAAATGTTAAATCCATATAAATTAACACTGTAACCGTATGTGAAGAAGAGTGCCAGGTATACTTCTCCTGTGGACACTTAGGTGAAGGAGGATGGAATTGAAGGATGTGGGTAAGCTCTATCCTTGCTAACCAGTCAAGCAGAACAAGTGCCAAGTAGACTTAACTTATGACAAATATTTTCTAGTTTTCTCTAACCACACCATCCAAAATTCAAACAAGGGTAAATTTGAGTAACTTCATCATCATCGTTTTTACAGCCATTTGTCTTAATAGCTTTGATTACCTGCTGGTGTGGTGTACCAGTTGTCATCAGGCAAATTTGATGCAGGTGTTATGGGTGGATCACCTTCCTTTCATCAACCCACTTTACAGACTGGGAACTAGGCATTATATGTAGGACTTCCAGGTGCCTTTGTAGCTGGCAAATCATTGTCACTATTCTGAGGTAATCAAATATTACCTGCTTACCTGTATTATTCATCTAGAATTAGAAACCATGATTGGGTAGGGAGACTTGTATTTATAAGAGACTGCATTGATAACCTGTATGCATTACGATTAAGGCATTAATTATAGGATACAGGTTTAGCAAATGATAGCAAGAATTTTTGTTGTATCTAATTTGTGATTTAGTTTCTATTCATATTAAAACATGCTCATTTGGTAGAAGATACTATACAGTAAGTTTATTTAAGTAAATCTTTTTTTTAAGCTGTATTATCAGTGTGTGCGAGAAACAGACAAGTGGAGTTAGTTTTGGTTTTGTTTGTCCTGAACTTTCTAATTTTTTGGGTGTTACTTCTACTATCCAGGACCCAAGGCAATCAGAGCTACGATTAAAGCCAATGACCGACAAAGATCGTGACCAGCTAAACCACCTGGCTGATTTGTACTCTCTCACCATCCGTAGCAGCGATGACCAAACGGCTCCTATACTCACCAAGACCAGGTGTGTGGCTCAACATAGGAATTGCCAAGGGTAAATATTAGGTGGTGTTGTTCTCTTCCGTACACTGAAATTTCTCAATAGTTTTAATTGGATATTGTATGAAAAAAATGAGACTGCCATACATTAAGGGAACACTTGTAAGCAGGCAAGACATAATAATAAATTTTTCTCTGTTTTAGTTAAGATTTGGAGTTGGGTGAATTATGAATGAGAGACAAAGAGGTGGAGAAGTAATTGGTTATTGCAATAAAAGGGTGTAATGTATTTAGGTTATGTGTAAAAGATGGATATGGGAAGAATAACTGGAAATGTATGCTGTTGAGGCATATAGAAGACCCAAGACTATATTCAAAGTTGGAAGAATTAATTGAGTGGTAATGAAGGAATGTAGACACTAGCCTATAGAAGAAGGTAGGATTAAGAGGCCCTTTTCATTCTGGTAAGTATTATAATTTAAATTTGCTTTTTATTTCAGGATTTTTTATTTTTTTTTTCATTTTCACTGTTATGACAAGTTACAGTATTTAATTTTATGTTGTACAGGGGGGCCCCAAGTTCGCAGATTTTTATTTCGCGGTCCTCTATTATTCGCGGATGACACCCTGGATGCACCCAAGAATGTCTGTTAGTAGTTTTAAAGTTGCCAGCATTTTCGCTGCTGGGACAGGGAGCCATTCGTTCAAGAGACAGTAATTTCCTTTACCTGTACAGGTATTGTAAATATGTGTGTGTCCGTGTGTCACATACAAATAAATAATAATGGGAAAATATTCTTACAAATAATCAGAAACAAATTTATTAAAAATGTGACAGTCTACCCTCAAGTTATTCGCTGATTTGGCGATTCGTGGCCATGTTGAGAACCAACCCCTGCGAATTTGGGGGGCCCCCTGTATTGTAAGTTTAATTTGTCCATACAATAGAGCTTCTCAATATTGGACTAACTGCTACAGGGAGTTGTTCCTCGTAGGGAGTTTCTATTAACCTTCTCGTGCACGCAGTAAATATTTAAGTTTCCAAGACCACAACAAAAGTCATGGGACCATTCATGTGAGGTCTGGTCACCTTTGTTTTGCAGCCAATGTATCCCACAAGAAATATTTTTTGCATGATTTTTTACTTTAATGGCTTCGTTTTTGTTATCACTGTAGCATACCGGGATAAGCAAAAAAAATGAGAATAAGAATATTTTTTTCACTGAATAGAGAAAAAAATATTTGTTTCCAATATTGTATCACATTATTTTTGCACAGACCTACCAAGGTATATATATACATACACACACACAGTATTATCTCCATTAGCCGGAATTCTCCGAGAGCCGGAAAATCATTCCTTAAGCTGGAAAATTCCGACTTTGGGAATGATTGTCCGAGGGTCACATTTCCCGGAAAATTCAGAGAAAATTCTCCCGATACCCAGAAATTCCGGGGATGGGGGATATTTTTTCGGGTTCAAGAGATGCTGTAATGGCAATTTCTGGAACTTTCGAGAAAATTTTTCCATTACCCGGAGGGATTTTTTTCCGTCTTTGAGAGTCGTCTTGTTACCCGGAAATCTCTCATTCCCGTAAGTGCTCTGCACCAATTGTTCCGGCTAACAAATATATATATATACAGTATATATACATATATATATATATATATATATATATATATATATATATATATATATATATATATATATATATATATATATATATATATATATATATATATATATATATATATATATATATATATATATATACACAGTATATATATATATATATATATATATATATATATATATATACATATATATATATATATATATATATACTGTATATATATATATATATATATATATATACAGTATATATACATATATATATACAAGTGCTCCTCTACTTACGAACGAGTTACGTTCCTCAGGCTTGTTTGTAAGTCCAACTTTACTCTTGTCGATACCAAACATATTGTAAAAAATTAAAAGATTATGGATATTTAGTACAGCTATACTCTTTAATACAGCTTTAAAACCTGGCTCACTCTTCTCTGAGGTAATGTTTGTTCTATCTGGAATTTTCTTCAAAATAATCCCATCTCGTCCACATTAAACACCTGTTCTGGCAGGTAACCCCCCTCAGTGATGATGTCTGTATCTTTTAAAGTTTGTAAGTTGAATGTTCTTAAGTAGAGGAGCACCTGTACAGGCAAACCCCGTTATTCATTGCCTCGGTATTCGTAACCCCGTTTAACCACAATCAATTTATTGTTACCCATTTCCACTATTCGCAATGGTTGCCCTGTTTATTCGCAAATTCTTGCGAGCAAAAATTTTGAACCACGCGCCTGAACAAGTGAACCACTGCCTTCAACAAGTGAACCACAGCCTTCAACCAGTGGAGAATAACAGAGATAATGAGAGTGAGGTGGCTGACGACCCTGGCAGTGAGGAGAGTGAGGTGGCTGACGACCCTGGCAGTGAGGAGAGTGAGGTGGCTGACGACCCTGGTAGTGAGGAGAGTGAGGTGGCTGACGACCCTGGTAGTGAGGAGAGTGAGGTGGCTGACGACCCTGGCAGTGATGAGAGTGAGGTGGCTGACGACCCTGGCAGTGATGATGAGAGTGAGGTGGCTGATGACCCTGGCAGTGATGAGAGTGAGGTGGCTGACGACCCTGGCAGTGAGGAAAGTGAGGTGGCTGACGACCCTGGCAGTGAGGAGAGTGAGGTGGCTGACGACCCTGGCAGTGAGGAGAGTGAGGTGGCTGACGACCCTGGCAGTGAGGAGAGTGAGGTGGCTGACGACCCTGGCAGTGAGGAGAGTGAGGTGGCTGACGACCCTGGCAGTGATGATGAGAGTGAGGTGGCTGATGACCCTGGCAGTGAGGAGAGTGAGGTGGCTCACAACCCTGGCAGTGATGATGAGAGTGAGGTGGCTGACGTCCCTGGCAGTGAGGAGAGTGAGGTGGCTGACGACCCTGGCAGTGATGATGAGAGTGAGGTGGCTGACGACTCTGGCAGTGAGGAGAGCGAGGTGGCTGATGACACCAGCAGTGATGAGAGTGAGGCTGATGACCTGGCAGTGATGATGAGGCGAAGTGGTTGTGAGCCTGGCAGTGATGAGTGGTGGCTGATGACCTGGCAGTGAGAGTGAGGTGGCTGACGACCCTGGCAGTGAGGAGAGTGAGGTGGCTGGACCCCGGGCAGTGATGAGAAGGGGAGGTGGTGGATGACCCTGGCAGTGAGGAAAGTGAGGTGGCTGACGACCTGGCAGTGAGGAGAGTGAGGTGGCTGACGACCCTGGCAGTGAGGAAAGTGAGGTGGCTGACAACCCCGGGCAGTGATGAGAGGAGGTGGCTGACGACCCTGGCAGTGAGGAGAGAGGAGGTGGCTGACAACCCGGGCAGTGATGAGAGGAGGTGGCTGACGACCCTGGCAGTGAGGAAAGTGGGGTGGCTGGACGACCCTGGCAGTGAGGAGAGTGAGGTGGCTGACCACCCTGGCAGTGAGGAAAGTGAGGTGGCTGACAACCCTGGCAGTGATGAGAGTGAGGTGGCTGACGACCCTGGTAGTGAGGAAAGTGAGGTGGCTGACGACCCTGGCAGTGAGGAGAGTGAGTGGCGACGACCCTGGGCAGTGAGGAGAGTGAGGTGGCTGACGACCCTGGCAGTGAGGAGAGGAGGTGACGACCCTGGCAGTGATGAGAGTGAGGTGGCTGACGACCCTGGCAGTGAGGAAAGTGAGGTGGCTGACGACCCTGGCAGTGAGGAGAGTGAGGTGGCTGACGACCCTGGCAGTGAGGAGAGTGAGGTGGCTGACGACCCTGGCAGTGAGGAGAGTGAGGTGGCTGACGACCCTGGCAGTGAGGAGAGTGAGGTGGCTGACGACCCCAGCCTCCTCTCCCCTAATGCCAACTTCAGCAAGCAAGCAACACAGCATATCAGAGGTTAATTAACAGTCTACGTTTAAAACTTACCTCACACACCTACGCACACAAACACACACACACTCAAACATATAAAGTATACTGTACTTGTAAACATATACGCCTAATAAACTCAGTGTTTGTTATTGATGTTTTATTTGATATTTTGCCCTTGTTTCTTTATTTTATGTTCTATATGTATTGAGTAAAACAAGTGTTAAAATCTGACGGCCGTGACCACCCGTATCCCCCCTATATACATTATTTCTTATGGGTGAAATTGCTCTGCTATTCGCAATTTCGATATTCACAACAAGTTTCATGCCTGAGACCTTTTTAATAGTAATGGATACAGATACACCTGTAATATGATAATTAATGCATAAAATTAAAATTATAAATATTATACCAAAATATGAATGTCACACATAATTAATTCTCAGTAAGTGTGTGGGGCAAGGAGGGATAGGTCGCAAGTAGAGCTCCACATAATACTAGTGATCAAAATAGTGGTAAGCACAGTTATTGATGCTGTAGTGTGGTTCTCCTTGTTGGTTATTGTAAAAGTAATTTATTGTTGCCTTAACCATTTGCTGTCACTTTCTACTACACTACCACCCACCATTATCTCTCTCATCCCCTTCCTTAAGATTTCTCTACTGTGCCCCTTGATTCACTGAGCCAAAGTGAGAGAGGTGTAGAACTGTTAGTTAGATAATAGAAGTCATGTCATAGATATCTAACCAATTGATAGATTATGAAAGTACTATACTGGTGAAGGGAATAAATATTGTTTGCTTTATTCTGTGGGGTTTTTGTGTTCAGTTTATCATTTAATATTTGTTGAAATTAAATCTGTTAGTGATGTGCTTTTAACTAGTTGGTATTTGCTGATAATCATTTCTTTTAGTACTGATCTAATCATGCTCTTTATATTAATTTATTAATTAATTAGATATTAGTGAAATTTTGTTTTGTATTATATTGATTAGTTTGGAGTGCATTTATGTTGAAAGGATTGATGAACTTACCTGTTTGATTAAAGTTAAAGTTCAAATGAGTAAGTATCCCATTTGATTGTTGAAAAGTGAGATTTATCAGCAGCTGTCATTTATACAAGCAGGGATGTGAATGTAATGCTCTTTAGGAACATCTTCCAGCACCCTTTCTAGGGAATTGTTTCATTTCTTGTATCTCCAGATGTGGGAGCTTAACTTTGTGAGTTTCATTTTTCTCTTACAATTATGGTCTTGTCCATAGGAATACCATTACGAAACAGAGACTGGAAGCAGATGGGGAAACCTTGGCTTGTGGTGGCTCCTTCCCAGGTGGTTTACCTGTACCACTCAGTGACTTGAAACGACGCAGACGCACACCACCTCCACCTACTAACAACCTAACTGAGGGCAGCAATGATTCAGTGGAGAGTATCTCCAATAGTGCAGGTTTGTCAGGTAAAGGGTGCCAGCATGTTGAAAGTCCCTGCTCACATTCTTATCTAGCATAATGTGACCACTACATTTAATCACCCCCATATATTTTTGTCTCAGTTTTCTCTAAGGTGTTTCTTTAAAAAAAATTCTGTATATTTTGCCTCCTGCTTTCATTTTAATGATGGACCTTGCCTGTCTAATAAGATAGCCTTCATCATAAAATACTTATCAACTCTGGGTTTGTATTCACCTTTAACAGTGTGCTAAGATCCTGCTGGTTTGCAACCTTGGTCTTGTAGACCACATCTTTGACAAACTCCCACAGGGAGGTGATCATGGTGGCCAGGTGATTGGTCCGCCTCGGTCAATCCAGCGACCTGGAAATTTTTCATTTAGGACGGCTTGACGACTAAGGCCCATTGAGGGGGATCCCCGTCCTGTTGAAAAATTATATGGGGTTGCAGGTGTTCAATGTGTGGTGATACGAATCCTCCCAACAATGTTAGGCACATTGTTGATGTCACTTACTTCTCTGCAATGAAAAACAGACCCACCAAGAGGTCATGGGGAATGCACACCACACCTTTGGACTGTCAAAGATGTGGTCTACAAGACCAAGGTGGCAAACCTGCAAGATCTTAGTGTTTGGATCACAGGGTAAATAGGTTTTTATTGACCAATTTTTTAACTTATACCGTCCTTACTTTTATTTGTGCTTCTTGAGCCATTTATGTGACATGTAATATCTTGTTAATACTTTTCATGAGAAGCTTTTATATTTCTGGGTAATATAATAATAATAACAATTATAATATTGTTGTATACTCTTACATCTGTCAAAGAAACAGTTGAACGTTGTACAGGTTGTACCTCTCTAGTCCGGCAACCTCGGGACCTGACCGGTGCCGGACCATGGAAATTCACCCTTTTCCTGGATAGATAGTGACTTGTGCTTATGCTTGGAAGCACTAGCACCACTTTCTCTGCATCATGGTCTCTTTGAAGACATATTGAAGGGTTAAATGTCGTATAGTAGCTTCTCAAATTTCGTGAGTTTTTAATTCAACGTATTTTATTGGAACACACACACAAAAAAAAAAAAAACTTTTGACGGCGGAAACTTGAATTTCGACGGGTTTGAACGGCCCGCCAACGTGCAGACGACGTGCATAATCGTGTAAACAGCGTCATTTCTCTTATGTACAAAAGATTCATTATTGTTTATTACTGAATGTCTTTTTTATTGAATTAATGTTTGTGTGCAAAATGAGCAATACAATTCATTGATAATACGTAGAATATTAAAACACACGAGGAAATGACACAGCATTGTTTTCGTTGATTACAAAACCAGTGACTGACTGGTTCTACATATAAAACTGAAGAAAATACGACTGGTTGTAGCTGTAGTAAAATTAATATGGTTGTTTTAAGTAATGTTATTTAATGTTAATAAATGGAACAATAGAAGTAGCTAACGATAATGGTAAAGAAAAAAGAGAGATTGCATATGTAAGTGCGCACACGTGAAAACATATCGTCATTACTTTACATAAGAATATGAAAGCAACACTTATTTACTGTTCATATATATTTTAATTAATGTTTCTGAATTTGTTTTTATTGAATTGGTGTTTGTGTGTGCAAAATTAACAGTACAATTTATTAATAATACGTGGAATATTAGAGGAGACGAGACGGCTGCCGGCATTGTTTATGTTAAAGCTTACTAAACCAGTGACTGATTGGTTCTACATATAAAACTGAAGAAAATAAGACCCTGATTGTAGCTGTAGTAAAATTAATATGGTTTTTTGAAGTACCTGTAATGTTATTTAATGTTAATAAATGGAACAATATAAGTAGCTAACCATTAATGGTAAAAAAAGTGAGACTGCGCGTATGTAAGTGCGCGCACATGTGAAAACATATCGTCATTACTCTACATAAGAATATGAAAGCAACGCTTATTTACTGATCATATATATTGAAGGGTTAAATGTTGTACTCTGTATAGACAAGCAGAGAGAGAGAGAGAGCAGCCGAACTGCCGGATGTAAACAAACCTTAATTTCCCGCGGCTTTGTTGTTGTCTTTTTTATGGGGATTAGCCCACCCGGGCATAGGTCACTGACCCACATTGGGGCGTGAGGGGCAAAAATTTAATACTCCTGTAATAATGATGATAATTCAGATAAGTAAAAAAAAAAAAAAAGCTGCCTATCTACCTATTGGACAAACTAAAATCGTTCCGGACCACGGGAGTTTCCGGACCACAGAATGCCGGACTAGAGAGGTGCAACCTGTACAAATATAATTTGCATATATCACATTAGAATATACCTGTAGCTGGTGTTCACGAGATATGATTAGTTCAAGGACCTCTTACAAACATTAGTTAGTTATATGGTGGGTTTCAATTAGACCTAATAGTTTCAAGAACTATATGCAGTATGTACAGTCCCCAAAAAAGTATAGATAGATTTTCCGTCGCTATAATTTGAAATGCTCGACGAAATACTTTGACATGATCGCCAATTAATGATCATAAGTTGGTATGCCTGCTGGCTGTATCAGCGAGATGGGGGTAGGATTAGAGGAGGTAGTTGTTGTTGTGTGGCATACTAGATACTTCAGTACAGTAAAGCCTCGAATAACGACGGTAATGTGTCCTCCAATATTGCAGTGTAAGGTGAATCATCGTGTCGCAAATCATTTTTTACCCTCTTTTCCCCCCAAAACAATACAATTAAAGAAAATTGTAAACTATATTCTTTAAAAATGTTTCTGAATGCACCTTATACAATATGAATGAATAATAATATGGTCACACAAGAGGAGATGGTACGCCATTGTTTTCATTAGTGTTTACAGCCGGGACGATAGTTCTACACAAGAAAATGAAGAAAATACGACCCTGGTTGTAGCTGTAGTAAAATTAATGTAAAAAAATGAAAATATATATGTTTTAAGTAATGTTATTTAATGTTTATAAATGGAACAATAGAAGCAGCTAACCACTAATGGCAAAGAAAAAAAAAGTGAGATGGATTGGGAACGCCAACATATACGTGCGCATTTAAGGATACCGCGTCATTTATCTTTTTAAGAATATGTACAAAAGGTTCATTATTGTTTATTACTGAATATGTGTTTGATTGAATAATCTTTATATATGTGAAATGAACAATACAATTCATTAATAATACATAGAATATTAAAACACACAAGAGGATAAGAGACGGCATTGTTGTCAGTGTTTACACCCATAATGTCAGTTATCCGCCTGAAACTGAAGAAAATAAGACCTTGGTTGTTGTTGTAGTAAAATTAATGTAAAAATATGTATGTTTTAACTAATGTTATTTATTGTACAGAAGAAGTAACCTCTGATATAAAAGAAAAAAAGTGAGACTGATAGTGGAACGCCAATGTATACAGTACGTGCGCACTCAAGGAAACATAGTCATTTATCTTAAGATTATGTACAAAAGATTCATTATTGTTTATTACTGAATATGTATTTGATTGAATTAATGTATGTATATATATATATATATATATATATATATATATATATATATATATATATATATATATATATATATATATATATATATATATATATATATATATATATATATATATATATATATATATATGTGAAATGAACAATGCAATTCATTAATAATTCATAGAATATTAAAAAACACACATGAGGAGACAAGACGGCATTGTTTTCGTGAGTGACGATGGTTCTACATAAGAAACTGAAGAAAATAAGACCCTGGTTGTAGCTGTAGTGAACTTAATGTAAAAAAAAAATTTAATACCTGTTTGTATGTTTTAAGTAATGTTATTAATGTTAATAAATTGAACACTAGAAGTAGCTAACCACTAATGGTAAAGAAATAAAGCGAGACGCTTGGGAATGCCAATGTGTGTAAGTGCGTACAGTATATGTGAAAACATCATAATTTCTCTACATAAGAATATGAAAGCACCATTTATTTACTGTTCATATATGTTTTAATAATACTTACAAATGTAAAACAAAAATTTTACTCGCCAATGGTGGTAAAGTCTAAAACATAAGGACAGCCAATGATGATGTGCGAGTTTTTACTCAGATGACGAAGTCATCAGGTTCAACTCTGGCTGTAGCTTTCCATAAAGCTGTTGCTAAAACTGTTACTGAACCTGAAGTTGTTGTTGAAGTTGCTTATGATGCTGAATTTGATGGTGTAGCTGAAGTTGATGGTTTAGGCCATTGAATAATAAAGCTGTCGAAAGAACCTTGCACAGCTGCTTTCTTTTCTCATTATACATCTTTATGTAGAGGTCATTTGCGTTTATTAAAATTTTAATGCTTTGTTCTGTTAATGGATCCACTTCAGAAAATATGTTCATTGCTTGCTCCATATAAAATCCACAGACCTCTCACCTTTTTCAAAACGTTTAACACATATAGTTTCTTGGCTAAGCTCACACACTTTATGAAACAACACTACCATCACTTGCTCTCTTGCTCATGTTGAATAGGGATGCAAAAGTGCTGTAAGAAACCTGAGAAAGTTTTTCTCCTTTTCCTGTTCAGATGCGTGAAAACAAAAGGCCTGCCTAGCTGTGACTGTTTATGCTAGTGATGCTGGCGTCACCACTAACAAGCCCGGCAGCCTCCTTGTGCAAGGCGTGGTTTTTTTTTTTTTTTTTTTATGATATCTGGATTTAATTATTATTTATACGAAAATGTAATATTTTTTCGGCGTAAATATGAAGAAAATAATGGCGTAAATTGAATTGGGTCCTAAATTAACCAGGGATCTTAGATATGAATCTTTGTAGTTGAATCATCATTATTGGAGGCTTTACTGTATAACAAGAAATCCATTAAAGTTATAATAATGTATATGTACGTATCTTTCAAAAACGTATATACCCTGTACTCATTCATGCTCAAAGGTTGCAGATGTAAAATTACCAACCGTTGAGAAACAGGTTGAGTAACATTGCTCGAAAAGCCTCAAATCACATCGATCCCCCATGGCTAACGATACTTTTGGGGGGACTGTTTATTTCTCGTCCTTATCCCTTGCGGATAATAAGGATTTGGTTTATCTGCATTAGAGTGATCTGATAAGTTTTTTATGAAACCCAGAAGTTAAAAATGTTTTGCATGCACAGTTGAGTGATAGGGTAAATTTTAACAGTCAAACATTTTTTATTTATTTATTTATTAGTAATTTTTTAAGAACTATGTATCTACCTGAGAAAAAGATATTATTGGTTTTAATGAGATGTTACTTTCAGGAACCATGTGTCGTCCTCCAGTGCCCAGTGTCAGTTGGGATGATGATGTTGGTGACTGTTGTGCCGATTCACTCTCTGAGCGTTTGGCTGATTCCGAGCCTGAACCACTTCCCTCCCCAACATCTCTTGGCCTTCACGATTGCACTCTCTAAATTACACTTCATAATACTGTTGTCATACCTCACTGCCATATTTCATAGTATTTATATTTCATCTAATTTTGAAATGCCTACTGATCATTTCATCTTCACCACTCTTTAAAATTTAACATTCAAGCTTTAGAGGATTTTCCTAATTACCAGTGACTCTCTTCCTTCTTCACATTGTTTGTATCATATGGAGTACTTACAGCTAGGGAAAAAAATTATTTTCCTACTCTGGAAACAACTTTTATGTTACTGGTTGATGAAGTTTTGTATTCTCTTTAACCCTTTGGCTGTGAAAAACCAGTAGTGCTCTGCTGTAGAGGCTGCAATAGCCAGCAGGCTGTCAATATTTTAGCTGTGCTTCAGTACACACACTGTCATCATGAAGGAAGTATGGTTCATCTCCTAGTAACCCAGAGCCATTCACGTCACACAGTAAAGGAGCTCTTCACCGTGGCTGCACCAAACTAGATATATGATTCATTCTTTCATTTCCCAGTATACACACTGAGTCTATTTGGGGAAGAGAAAAATACATTTTTTAACAATTTTAATTTTTCTTGACGATTGTGAATACAGTCTGAGCCACCTCAAAGATGACTTTCGGCTCTTCCTCCTGGAACAACCAAGATAGATAAATTATTTATTTTTCATTTCCCATTAACCTGTGTATATATATATATATATATATATATATATATATATATATATATATATATATATATATATATATATATATATATATATATATATATATATATATATATATATATATATATACACACAGTATAATTTTTATTTTCCCCCCCCACAATAAATTTACTGGAAACTGCAGCCGAAGGGTTTTAAGATCAACCAGCTACATTATCTCAATTTGGGATACATGAAGCTGTTTTTTGTTATACAGTTTACACTATTTATATGAGATATATAGACAAATATAGTTTGCTAAAGCCTACTAGTGATGAATGTGTAATGATGGAACTGTTTGGTAATAGAAATTAATTTGGATTGAGAATAATCCAGTTTATTGAAAATATATAAAAATATATATAACTAATGTATGGTGACATATTTAATTATTTACCACACAAAAATAATGTCCCCCTCCAGGGTGTCCCCCTCAATACTTTCTGCCTGCCATCACTGATTGTAATTTACTGAGGTGTTTGCCTTCCCTACTGATATTTTGTTTCAGTATAAACCACAGAATTTTCCTTGCTGAGCAGCTGTAATAGGAAGCTGCAGAACATGTAAACTATAAGAGACCGTACCTGTTTTATTGTTTATGGATATGTATAGCAGTAACTGTAGAGTGATGGGATGAAGGAAAATGAGTTTGTTTTTTGCTCTTAATTCCAGTTACAATGAAAAAGCCTAAACAAAGTAAAGGGAGATTACATGTCTTAACACTGCTCTGTCTGTTATCAAATTTCCTGTTTATGTATCAACTTATGAGAGTGCATAATGATACAAAGTCATATGTCTGTTTGTCAGTTATTCTTTATTTAGCACAAAATAACACCTTCACTTTGTATTGAGAAATGAAGGTATGTGAAAAGACTTGGTGTATGATTTTCATAATTATGTCGATGAAAGGAATATTGAGGTTTTGAATAGTGTAAGGAAAAGCAAATGATAAAGTAAAAAAAAAAGAGAAATGGGAACCTTTGAAACGGTGAGAAGTTTAAAAATGAATTACAAAATGTGGTTTATATTGAGGTTTAATTAGATGGGGGCAGGCTAGAATTTATATTGAAATTTAAAAATGACTAGCATGTGGTCAAGCCATGTGACAATATTCAGAAATAAACCATCATTAGGGTAAACCATAGCAACTATCGTACGTATTAGCAGTGGAGTACAGTACAGTGGTCCCTCGGTTAACGAGCACAATTCGCTCCAGAAGGTTGCTCGTTAACCGAAACCATTGTTTCAATGCAGTAAAGTACACTTACTTTGAGGTGTGCATGTAGAAGGCTCCTGGTTGATGATGATGATGGGAATTAGAATGGGGGTGGAGGAGAAAGGAGAAGAGAAGGCATTGGGGTGGGAGAGAAGTCACCCCATGCCGCCATTTCACCCATAAAATTTTAGTTCACTTGGTGTAATTCAAGATTATTTTCTTTAAATCAACACTGCACTGCATTATATATTGTCAATATGTAAAATATATTTCAAAATGACCAATAATTTGACTGGAAACACAGAAAAAAGCATTTATGTTGAAGAGTCTGAAGCAAGATGTTACCTCCACTGAAAAGACACAGAGACTGACGCCTGTATGGTGTGTTGACAGGCTGTTTGGCGCGCTAAGAACTAGTTTCCCTGTACTTAAATTATGTTAAATAATTGTTAAAATGACAAAAAAATTTAATATAAGACTTTTAAAATTATTGAATAGTACAAACTTCTTGATATTTACTAAAATAGTAAGGAATTTAAGCCCTAGAACCGATTACTGTATTGGCGGACTAATACGACAGCTAGTGTGCAAGCGAAAACATGTTGAGGGGCGCTCGTAAGGAATTCGTTAATCGAGGGAATGCTCGTTAACCGAAGTTAAGAATCTTATGGAAGGTAATTCGTTAACCGAGGGATCACTGTACTTATTTAGGATATCAAAGTATGTTGGTAAACTTTCTGTAAACTCGGAATAACATCAGAATTTTGGGGGGCAATATGTAACGTGCATTTTAAAGATTTATTTATAATCTCAGTTATGGTTGGTGGTTGAAATCAAGAGCTAATACATTGTCATTCATTGTCATTCATACATTTTTACCAATTTACAAGATTATCTAAAATTTGAACAAACAGTTTCCATATCTTTCATTAACTGGATGGTTTAGTATATATATATATATATATATATATATATATATATATATATATATATATATATATATATATATATATATATATATATATATATATATATATATATATATATATATATATATATATATATTATTATTACTTAAAACCTGCACTTTAAATTCTATGTAAGTAGTACATGGATTCTTAAGTGCAGTGAGATGTTATGTTGAAGTAATATCTCTTCCTTGGTATGATATCCAGCTATCTACTGTACATCATATAATTTACAGTTTTGGTTTCTCCTCGTTTTCACAGTAGATGCTTTTTTCTCATATTTTTCACAAGCAGACTGTGTTTGAATAACAAAATCCAAAGTGTAATTACATGACTTCAAGCTGATACACGGGTAGTTACTCCCCACAGCTGGGATTAAAGATAAGCAAGAAGTGACATTATGAATGGAAATGTATTACTGGTACTACAAGAATAGAAGTGTTTGCCGATCAGAGATTAACATTAATGTGGAATTTGTATCGCCAAAAACATGATGTTGGACATGTACTGTAGTTCTAATATGAACAGCTTGTGTGAGTTTTCAATTTAGCACAGTACTGAACTTCTCAATACATTCCTTTTAACATAATTCACATCACATGCACATAATGTTGTTCTCATTAATGTATATAATACATGTGTGGTGATGTTTGAACCACACAATAAATAATTTAATAAATTTAAACCGTGAAAGCTTTCCTCCACCCTCCCCTACAAAACAACTGTTCTCTTCTGCAATAGCAATCAGATTAGCTCTCTCGTAAGAATGGTTTATGAATCTTAAATAAAGTTCTCTGAAGACTTCAGCGAGTGTTGAAGGTTGTTGCGTTGATGTCCAACTGGGTTAACATAAAAGGATAAAACACGAATTCTAGTTGTTAGACGTGTACTTGGGGTGGCTGTCTAAACAGCTCTGCTGGTGTACCCTAGGCCTTCGTCCTGGCTAAAAGTGTGGGAACCAATCGCCATTCAACACATATCTCTTAACTAATTTATCAGTTTAAGGTCTACTCGCACAACTCTGTTACTTCATATAATTAATAGTTATAATACAACAGTAATTATTATTAGTTTTATGTAAAGTAATTTACCCAAATTAAAGTAGTTGATGAGGAATTTAACTCGTCTCAACTTGTTAAAACATCTGATGGGTCCTTCCTTTCATAAGACTACAGTAATTATTAATAATAGTCATAAACCAACACCACTATTTATATTCTTATACACATGAATCATGGATTATACAAATTATTGTGAGAAATCCATGATCTACTCCTGACAACAAGTCTATTTCACATTTAATTAACACACAAACCCACCACCTGAATATCCGAAGGTGCTTAAGGGCTCCACAGGGCAAATTGTTACAAGGTTTATTTGTAATTATACAAAATATTTCCTTACATATATGCAGTCTATTTTTTTATTTTAAAATATTTTTCTTCTACCATTACAAGTTATATTTTTTTCTTCCTTTGTGCATAAGATACAGTATACTGAAGTAATACTGTAGTAATTGTGACACAAATGAAAAGAATAAAATAGGAGCTCATTATGCTATGTAGGGGCTATGGGTACAGACTATCTACCCAATATGACATACTATACTTGAGTATCATGGAATGCCTTGGTAATTACAGCTGTTCCCTGTAAGAATTCCAAACCAGGAAATAACTGAACGAGTTGAAAAATTCCTATGTATCGCAGTATACTGTGTAGGCATATCTTGTATCATTGGCAAGTAAAAATTTATGTGTTTATGGGCTGATTAATGCAAATGATTATTTTTTTGTAATGGAAAAAGTTACAAATGATTAAGAGTGAACCAAGATTTTTGGATTTCAAAGATCTACTTGTTTTTACAATTATTAAACTTGTCATACTTTTGGAATAGCAAGATTCTTTACCATTGATATATGATTATTATCTGTTTCTCAGTTTGTCTGATGTGAAGTTAGAGCCTGATCACTTTTTGCATCTTTAAAAGCATCCAAGTGTAATGACTGGAAGTAAGATGTTCTGTAATTATCATAATCCATGCAACTACATCTCTCAGTTTCTTACCTTTCTCAAACTAAATGTAAAACTTTTTGTCCACCATATCAATGAACTCTCAATTTCACTCTATCCTTTTGCTCTCACTTCCTTTTAGGTGGAGTAATTGCCAGTGTATCTGTCCAACATCAATTTTTCAAGTCAAATACTCTACTGAATGTTTGTTGTTCGATGAAAATCATTCTTATGTTTCCTCTTTTTTAAATTAACATACAAAATGATGAGGTGACTAACTTCATCAGGATAACATCTTGCACAATATGGAAGTACAACTTTATTGTATCTGTCCTGTTGTTCTTATTGGCATCTTAAGTTGTCACAGGTTCCTGCTTATATCCAGCTTCAACACAGCAATGCAAATTAATATACGAAAACTTTAATTTGTGATAATTAGGTAGTCCTAAAAAATTTAAAACCTAGCAGTATAATGCTTGGTTTCATTGTACAAAGTTATCTTTATTTGAAATCTACTATTTACTTCAAAAGATTTAACACGAGGTAGTAGGTATCAGCTCAGTGGGAACTTGGTTGGAACAAAGACTGTGCATTCTATGATCCTTTCAGTTCTACTTGTGATGTAGATTAAATAGTTTAGGGCTATCTTATAGGTTCATATAAGTTTCAGACTAAGTGTACATGTAAGATATCAGCCCAAATTTATGCCTTCTACAGTTTTTCTGATAATCACATTACAGATCATAAAATAATGTACAAATGATATGAAACCTTGATCAGGGTATATTTTGAAATATTTCAGATGTTAACTACTGTACAGTATATCCTTCTAGAAAGTCCTTTATAATATGGCACAAGGTTACCAGACAGTAGAATGTACAGATGGACTGCAGGCCCACTTTTTGGGTCAGTCATACAAGGTTCAAGATAGTTGTTCCTAAACATATTTGTTGTACAGTATGTTAATTTCACAGCTGGCTGACACTGTTAAGTACCGTATTTGTAAAAATATTTGTGTGAAATTTATTTAAAAAATAAAAGTTTTGCAAATTTGTTGTTATTAATAATAATCCATATTCTCAAGATTTGCATATACTGTACTGTATAATATGACTAATTTGAGATCACAACCTCGCAGGCCGAGCGTTAGGGCCAGACGAGCCAGCTATGGGGGCCATAGGTAGTCTGAAGTGTCTGACGGTCGGGTCTCACGAAGGTAACTGATCCTACTGGACCTCGGACATCTCCCCAGACATAGTGGATACAGCATCCACGCTACAGACACGGCCTAGGCTGCGTTACGGACCTGTATGGGTGAAGGGCGAGCACTTACTAACAGTTGAAATGCCCGCGGCACCCTCACTCAAAATAGGTTAGGGAGTCCACCTACTTCTATTTCGATGAATTAATTTACTGTACACTCTGACTTTGAAACTGAGACTATGAACTCCGTTTCATTCCCTACTATTATCCTCACTAACAATGCTCTGACTGAGCTATCAAAAGCAAATTTAAATTGATTACAAAGGGTTGGATGGCAACAGGTCCCAACATACAGCGTCTTGCTACGAAATCCGCAGATTATATTCAAAGTTCGCTTTAGACAAAGACGGCCTATCGATGACGTCATCAAGGAAACAGAGAAAACAGGGGACGTTTCCACTAGGGGACTCGGGAGGTTTTGTGGACGTTTGAGCATAATATGAATCCTTAAGGTTTTCAGGTTAGCCGTCATCACGATCATGACTCTCAAGGTTCCTAATGCCCGGGATTAGTCTTGTCATTCTCCTCTGAATTCTTTCCAAGAATT